TGGTACCCTTCAACGCATTGATAGTTTCCAACACAAAACTCCTCAACTCATGGAGTCCCGCCAAGGCGTTGTTCTCGACTTCGCCCATGTTCGTCTCCAAGGTGTCCAACCGCTCTATGGACTCCCCAACGGCAAGCTCCAGCTTGACCGCCCGTGTCTCCAACTCCGCAATGAATTCCCGAGACCTACTCCGTCTCTCCTTGCGTCCGTCCAATCCCGCAGCATTTCCATCCGACACGTTCCCGTCGTTTTCTCCCGACATTCCCACTGCTTGCCAAGATCGTTGCTCTGATATCACGTGTCACGGGTTAACTTCCTTCACTCGAAGTAACCGTGCGCCCCTTAGCAACTCACTCCCGTCGGCTACTAAGGCAGGCTTCCCGACTCGGCCAAGCACCACAAAAACCAAAGGCTTTCTAGAGAGAGAAACTAGAGAGAGAAAGTGTGGGGAGAAATGCTTTTGATTGCTAAAGACTTGGATACTTACAAGTGAGGTGCAAGCACCTATTTATACAAGCCAAATGAATAAATGCTATCTTCCTAACTACCGAATTAAATACAATCTACCAACAATCAACCATCAACTCTCAACTACCTCATTAATGCAAAGTTCTACCACCTTCCGGAACCTTCTAGAAGATGCTAGTGAGTTTGAGTGAAATCTTTGGCATAATGAAAAGTGTTAAGTATAGGAAAACCACCGCCGGGTGTCCGCTTGAAAGTCCGACCGTGACACAAGCCTGTGGCACTTGCTTTGTTTTTTAAGACAATACACTTTATCTTCCTTGCCTTTAACCTCGAATTTTGAAGGTTGTTGCACATATATTTCTTTTTCAAGTTCCTCGTTTAAAATTACTAATTTGACATCTAATTGGTAGACTTGAAGTTCAAGTAGAGCAACAAGCACAAAAACAATCTGAATCGTTTCCATTATTACCATTCATGTGAAAGTTTTTGTGAAACCACTCTCAAGTTGCGGGGTAGTCTTCAGTGACAAGTCATCTTTATGGAACTTGGTCTTATAGACTTATTTCAGTCTAGCCCAATTACATCTTTATGCTTCGGACTGTTCGCCAATTGCCATATTTCTTTTTTTTTTTTTATCATATAAATTTTCTATTCAATTATTTTCTTTCCTATGAATACGGTTTGATCTTTGAAGTACCAAATTCAATGCATTTATTTTCATTGAAATTTTGCATAGCATAATCACTTTGCGATTGATGTAGATTTTATTTTATATTTTGGTTTTTTCATTATGGTTGTTTTTATCCAAAAATTTGGCCTTCAAAAGTCGAGTGTAGGTAATAGAATAAATGGGAAGTATATAAAGAAAGGCTTTGTTTGGAGTTCTCATTAAACTGATTTGTTTTTTTTTTTTTTAGTGATTTTTTGTTACGAGGATCTAGTGCATAAATTTGAATATAATTAAAATTAGAATAAGGATTGAATAGCTATCGACAATCGAGCTCTTTTATATCTATACCACAGAGAGAAAATGACTTTTAGGATATATATATATATATTCATGCACTTTGTGTTTCAAATATTGTTATTATGGTAGAAAGTGCAACTATAGACAATATGCTTAAATTCAGCTGCAATTGTTTTCGAACTCGGTTTTTCTTTTTGCCACATTTTATTATGAACTGGAAACAACTACGTCTTCTAATTCCTTATTATTATTATTATTATTATTATTATTATTATTATTATTATTATTATTATTATTATTATTTGTGTTCATTTCTCTACTTGGACGAACTCTTACAATGGAGCATCATCACGACTTCCTGTAAATATGTGAAAATATCTACGTAAATTGAGTGAGAAGTTTCACCTAACTTTAGTTAATACTTATATGTTGTATATATTGTACATAACTAGCTGCACCGACAATGTGTCAGAGACACTGGGACCGAGACCCATGAGGCACTGACGATTAGTGTGCATATTTAACATCCACTTTGAATTTCAAAGAGAATATTCAATTATCATGTAATCGTATAAGTCATTGTTGATGATTAAACTCATTATTATTATTGTTTATTTGTTAATTGTTGTATGATATTCTTAATTACTTCAATAAACAGAATAAGTATTTGTCATTTGTATTTAGGTGATAATCCCGTAATAGTCATGGTATTCGTCACATCTGCTATGGTTCCAGATACTCCTCTAATTCTTTCCACGAATGCTGGTCCATGTACTATTCGCGAGGTAGTCAACATCGAGCCCATTTACTAGATATATAAAGTTGTACGTATTTTGTTCTTTTAATTAATTTTTCCTTGACATTTAATTTAATTAATTGGAAAATGATAAAAAAAAAATTAAATAAATTCACTTTTCATTGTAGCTGATTCACTACCCCTAAGAATATTTGGACTTGGGTCGCTAGCATCGACAGTGCCATTGAATCGCAACTTATTCACTAGGTATGGTTGACGTCTAGTGCTCCAACGACTTACAGTCAGCTAGTGCGCTTGGAAAAACGGTTTGATCGTTTTGATAATTACCCTGATGATCATTGAGTAGGTTGAGAGGGTAAACGTCCGGCCTAACTGCCACGACCGCGATGACAATTTTGGTGTGCCACTTGTTTGTTGATTTTGGTACTAAATATTTGAACTTTAATATTGTACATATTCTACTATTTCAAATGTACGGTTATGTTTACTATTTTTTGTGGTATTCATCGATTACGGAACTATGCTTATAAATATCGATTACTATCTTTTTTGTAGTGTATTTTAACATATTCTCCAGTTGCATCTGCTGCTTACCATATGCTAACACGCGAAATACAACCGTTGCTTTTTTATAAGGCAACAATCGGAACGACAAAGTACATCATATTGTTGTTGAAAATATGAATCATGTTGTTTAATTGCATTAACAATATGAAGAAACAAACTTTGAGACATTCAAAAACGTCTGCGAAAGGTTCGTTCATCCAATACTGGGTTAGGTACAAAATAATCATTAATAAATTACGCTAGCTTCTTCAATATTACGATTAATAACTTTATTATATGACACAGACCCACGGTGAGTTGGTTGTTGTGTATTGAAAAAATGATCGAAACAAATATTGTTTTGCTCGATCACTTAGATGACTACCTTCACACACTCCTAAGTATTTGCCAAGATGTGTTGACCGAATCCATCATCTTCCGAAGAAGATGTTGATGAAGAAAAACTTTTAGCAACTACATTCGAAGGTCCTCCCATATTGAAATTCATTTCTACACTAGATAAATAATTTGATATTTGGTTGAAGTCAGTGGCGGAACCAAGATGTGACGAAAGGGGGGCTGATTTTTAAAATTTTTGAAATAATACAATCTATTTATTATCAGATGATTTTATTGTTCGAGATGTCATGTTTTAAAATTCTTACAAAATAATAAGTTATAACAACATCAACTACATACTACAATTTTCATTTTGGTATTGTTTGAAATCCATAAGTATTTTTTATTAGAAAAATATCATTTAAAAAAAATTATTGAAGATTGTTTTTTTCTCATACGTATTTCGGTAGGATTTCTTTAATATTTTTTTACTTTTACTAAAAATTAATTTTATATTCAAGTATCACGTAACATTTATTTATATCACATAAAAAAATATTCAAATCTAAAAGTTTTTATCATTCAAAACTCAAACAAACACACCCTATATAAAATTTTATTTTATTTTATTTTTTTATACTACATATAAATATTATTATATACTACTATATCTTAAATTTATAAAAATAAAAACAAAAACAAAAGGATAGGGCAACCTCATTTAGCCCCTACATGTATAAGGATAGTGCTAAGTAGATCAAATGGCTCTCACTTGATCCATCTTGTTAGGTGGATTGAACGGCTTTCATTGGATCCATCGTGTTAGGTGGATCCAATGACTATCATTTGATCCACGTGTAAGGTGGATCGAACAACATTCATTTGATCCATCGCATTAGGTGGATTCAATGGCTCTCATTTGATCGATCGTGTTAAGTAGATCGAACGGCTCTCATTTGATCCATCGTGTTAAGTAGATCGAACAACTCTCATTTAATCCATCGTGTTAGATGGGATGTGATAGTTGGCTTGTGGTAGGTGTCATGTGGTAGGTAGATCGTTATTCGCCTATAAATAAAGAGTTTTGTTTCATATCCTATACACCACATTTGTCTAATTTTTTTTTTTTTAAAAAAAATATCTTCTAAACATTCTCCTTATTTTTCCCACATTGAACGTCAGTTGCTTGCAATTACATCCATTGATGAAACATATGTTGTATTTCGAACATGAGTGGCCGATACCTACAATGCAAAGAAGGAAGAAGAGTGATTACACGTAGTTTTCAATCGGTGCAAATTCGAATGGGAAAATTACATAAAGAGGTCAGACAATTTCTTACATGTATAAAGAGTTGAGAATTTGCATCTCAGTGGTTCATCAGAATTGGAGATAGTAAATATCTATTTAATTTTGATTGTTATAAAAATGTTCATAAATTTGTAACACTAACGGGTATTTTCTTTCCGGTAAATATCACAACGAGTGTGTGCCTCCTACAAATATAAAATATTATTGTGCAACAAATACTTACATAAAATACATAAACTTTTAGTCAAAAAATTACTTTGAATTTATTACAAATATTCTAATTATTTACTGTAAAATTTAAATATATTTAAAGCATAATTTAAATTATAATAAATTTAAATCACTATTAAATAATAAAAACTACAAATGTACATAATTAAATATAAAATATTGTAGATTGGCCCTGTATAATTAAATAGGGATCAATATGTAATTTTTAAAAATAAAAGAAATAAAATAATAATAAAAATAGAACAAGCCCATAAAGCACCTTAGCAAACACCATAAATGGTGTCAAGAATATCGATGAATTGAAGGGCCACGGCTCCATTTATACGGCCTTACCGTAAAAAAATGCAGCTGCATTGAAGAGCGTTTTATAAATAAGATTTATTAGATGTGTGTAAATTTAAAAGAATATAATATGGTGGTGTGTGAGTGAATTTACAGGGCTGAGAGCTTGAGTTCAAATTCTTATGCCCCAAAAGTTTTTTGGTTATATTTATCACGTTCTCAAGGGTGAGTGCATTTTCAATTCCATCGATGATTAAATCGTCTCTGAGCAGAATCAGAACGACCATAACCTGCTCCAATATAGACATTTTTTTGTCGCAATGCAAGAATCTGAAGCTCTTCGATCAAGTTTTATCTCTAACGTTCTGCACAGGGCTAATCAGAGACACGTACGCCGCCAGTAGAATCCTCAAGTTCTCGACCGATTCAGCCTTCATTCAAATCGATTATTCGCTAAAGATCTTCACAGGCATCGACGCCAAAAATGGCTTCATCTGGAACACCATGTTCCGAGCCTTACTACACGGCGGCAGACCGCACGAATCGATCCTTCTTTACAGGTCAATGCTCGCAGACGACCTTTTGTCCATCGATCATTACACGCACCCTATCTTGATTCACGGCTGCTCCCTCGGATTGTCCGAGTTTGAGGGGAGACAGGTGCACGATCACGCGTTGAAGATGGGATTCGACGAAGATTTATACGTGGCGAACAATTTGATAAACTTCTACGGCGTTTGCGGGCTTATGTTTGATGCCCGGAAGGTGTTCGACGAAAGTCCTGAACAGGACACTGTTTCTTGGAACTCATTGTTGGCTGGGTATGTTGCAGCAGGAAATGTCGACGACGCGAAGTTAGTCTATTCTCGGATGCCTCAAAAGAATGTCATTGCGTCGAATTCCATGATTGCGTTGTTGGGAAAGAGCCGCCGGATGCGCGAAGCTCGCGAGCTCTTTAATGTAATAGAAGACAAGGATTTGGTGTCATGGACTGCACTGATTTCAGGTTATGAGCAGAATGAGATGTATGAAGAGGCTTTGAAGCTTTTACCGACTATGCAAACGAATGGAATTCGCATCGATGAAGTGGTCGTTGTGTCCGCACTCTCTGCTTGTTCGCATTCGTCGAGTTTCAGGTTGGGGGAATCGCTTCACGGCTTGTCTGTGAAAATTGGTTTCAAATCGTATGTGAATTTATACAACGCGTTGCTTCATGCGTACTCCTTGCGAGGGGATGTGTTCGCCGCGGAGAAATTGTTTGCCGCGGCTTCATTCTTGGACTTAATATCTTGGAATTCGATGATATCTGGATACATGAAATGTGGATCGACTGATAAAGCGAGGGAATTGTTCGACGCCATGCCCGAGAAGGACGTTGTGTCGTGGAGTTCGATGATATCTGGTTACTCGCAATGTGATAAGTTTCCGGAGACTTTAGCATTGTTTCACGATATGCAGCGGGAAGGCGTTAGGCCAGACGAAACGACTTTGGTCAGTGTGATTTCAGCGTGTACTCATCTTGCGGCGCTCGAACAAGGAAAATGGCTAGATGCTTATATTCGGAAGAACGGGATGAAAGTGAACGTAATTCTCGGCACAACTCTTATCGATATGTACATGAAGTGTGGAAGCGTGGAGAGCGCGATGAACGTATTTTATGGGATGGAGGAGACGGGGGTTTCTTCGTGGAACGCTGTAATTCTCGGCTTGGCCATGAACGGGCGAGTAGAACAATCGCTTTTGATGTTTGAAACGATGAAGAAACGTAAAGTAGTTCCGAACGAAGTTACCTTTGTCGCAGTTCTTGGCGCTTGTCGACATATGGGCCTCGTACAAGAAGGGCGACGGTATTTCGACTCGATGTCGAAAGAATACAACATCGAACCGAGTATTAAACACTATGGATGCTTGGTCGACCTTCTCGGTCGAGCAGGGCTGCTGAGGGAAGCCGAAGAACTTATAAACACCATGCCTATGGCGCCAGACGTCGCGACATGGGGAGCCCTCCTCGGAGCATGCAAGAAACACGGCGACAAGGAAATGGGTGAGAAGCTCGGGAGGAAGCTCGTCGAACTCCAACCCGAGCACGACGGTTTCCACGTCTTGCTGTCGAATATATACGCTTCGAAAGGTAACTGGGGTGATGTCCAGGAGATCAGGGGAGTCATGGCACGGCACGGCGTCGTCAAAACTCCAGGCTGCAGTATAATCGAAGCCGATGGCATCGTCCATGAGTTTCTTTCGGGAGACAGGTCGCACCCTCGGATTCTGGAAATCGAGACGATGTTGGAGGAAATGGTCCGAAGATTGAAGAGGCTGGGGTATGCGCCCGGAACAGGCGAGGTTTTACTCGATATAGACGAAGAGGAGAAAGAGACGAACCTTGTTCGACATAGCGAGAAGCTTGCGATTGCTTTCGGGCTGTTGGCGACGCGTTCGCCTGCGCCGATAAGAATCGTTAAGAATTTGAGGATCTGCAGTGACTGTCATGAAGCGGCAAAAATGGCATCGAATGCTTTCGACCGCGAGATCGTGGTAAGGGATCGTCACCGGTTTCACCATTTCCGGCACGGCTCATGTTCTTGTTGGGATTACTGGTAGCGCAGAAACAGCATTCTTACATTCTACTTACTGTGTCAATACTACACAAGCCTGAACTTACATATGAACAGAGAGCCAGCAGCCCGAACTAAAACTCGAGGGCCCCGATAATTGCGAAACATCGTATTTACAGCTACTCCTAAAGAAGAATCCTGACATGCGACTCAGCCGGCGAAAAACAACAGCAGCTAAGAGCGCGAAAGCGACCATATATGTACAATGAAACGAGGTGTTTTTGTTCTGCAGAATCAGCGATCCGGCATCAGACTAGAATCTGAGACTTGGCGAGGCCGCGGGAGCATTTCTTTCGGTTAGAATTGTTCAACGAGCAGACGCAGATTTCCAGGAGTTCATAGTCTTCCTCCCAGAACAGCTTTGCTGCCTTCTCCGGATTCTCCAACAGCATCTTCGATGTCAGGAAACCGGCGATGGACCATGTCTGGAATAGCCGAGCCTGCTTTCCTATGAACTTGCCCTTCTCCGTGTCGTAGTATTCAGGCCAGCCGTCCATAGGAAGCCTCTTCTCGGCAACATCGATCGCCTTCCTGGCCAGATCAGTCCGGCCCATCTTCACACATGCCAACGTGAACTGCCACAAAAGTGTCGGCCAAGATCCACCGTTGTGATACGACCAAGGTCTGCAAAAGTTCATCGGATATCAGTGATTCAAGCAGCAAATTATAGGCGAAAAGGGAAGTTAAGGGCGCTCACGTATTCTTTGGATCGCTTCCAGTGATTATTCGCCAATCCTCAGATTCGACAGCAGGGTAGCATATCTTAAGAGGCATCTGTCCGATGAGATCCTCCCATTTATGATCGATGAGGTTCAGTATAGACTCATTCTGTTTTGGCGTGCCCAGGGAGGATACAATCGACCAGAGGTTACCGAGCATGAAGAATCTGAAATCCATATGGGCCGGCTGCAGGTTGCCGATGAGATATCCGCCATTCTCGGGGATCCAATGAATCAACCAGTGAGGGATTTGTTCAGGGTAGATGTTGAACTTGTTAGTAGCTTCTGTCGAATACTCCTCAGTCTTGTATCGATATATCTCATTGATCTTTTTCAGGTCGACCCAATAGTATTCTCTGATGTGAAACGACAGCGCGCTTAGCCTCGTGTTAATGGCACTTACCAAATTCTTGGATCCTTCATCTTCTACGAGCATTTCACGACCACATCTAAGAGCTGAGTAGAATAGCGACTGCAAACAAGAAAAACATCGATCTTAAACAACCCAAAAAAAGGCTCCTCCTTAATCTCTTCACGTTTTATTTAGATTGTTCTTGATCAAGGATAAAAAAAATAACATGAGCTTGAGCTTACTTGAATCTCCAAAGGATGTCCATGAATACCCATCCGTCGATCAATCATGCACGAGCCATCAGTCACCAGCAAAGACGGGAACATATCGAAGCCATCGGACAAGCAGAGATTCAAGATGAGCTTTATTCCTGTCTGAACATCTACTCTTTCCTGTAATGTTGTGTCGCCGGTAAGCTTACCGTATGCTCTCAATAAGATGATCCACCAAAGCCCTGTGCAAAAGTGAAATCTTTTGAGAGATTGATCAAATTGAAGCCATAAATTTTCGAGAAAACGATCAAGATCATCAAAATTCTCATAACATAGGTAGCCCTTCAGGTTGCATCTGCTGAAAGGAAATACACACATACCAGAATCCACAGGCGCCACTCGCCCGATGGCTGACTCCCCGAAATCGGCATCCAGAGCCTCTTCAACATTTTCACCGTCTGAAGCCACTATTCTGACTTTAAAACTTGCTGGCATCAATCCTTGCCCCGGACTGTAACAGTCCACTGTTTTCTGCCAACTCTGCAGTCGCGTCGCACGGCACAAAAGGATTAGTAACCGGAAATGAATGTAAATTAGTTAACCAGTTCATCAATAACAGCCATCAAGAAGAACAACTTTTGAGATCATAGCAAACAACAACCACAAACAAAAACCAAGAAAGATCCACAGCAAGATCTAATCTATAGTCTATCCCTGTATATTAATCGAACCTTCGCTTTAGATTAATTAACTCTCAAATCTGTCCTTTAATCAAATCAGGAATGATGAGGTAAACGAACACAAAAAGTTATAGCCGTATAAAAAGGCAAGCTATAATTTCTATTCACGTCGTAGTTTTCTTCGCACGCTAAAATCTGAAGCACCGAGACTTAAAATCCATATAAAGCAACAGAACTGTACACAAATGAAGCACATGACACATACACAACACGAAGAATCGTTATAATCAAGATTGAAAATCAAAGTACCTGAAGCTGCAGGTTATGAAGCAAGAAATTCTTCACTATTTCCCCCTCACCCTTGAGCAAAAATGCAAGGGCTGAAGAGATGAAGTCTCTTATAAACACCTGATCGTAATTGAGTGGCATACTGTCATTGGGATCGTTTGCCGCCACAGTACCAACAGGACTCCCACAATATGTCACCACTGCATTCCTGAGCAGCTTCCAAGCCTCCTTTTCGGCCTCAGTCTCTTTTTTCTCGACATCCTTTACATTCTCAGCCTGGTTCAAACTCTCAGTTTCTGCCTTGTTGCCAGAATCTTTAACCACTTGGTTATTATTTTCTTCCCTGGCTACATTCTCTACCTCTTCCTCTTTCTTTTCCCTCTCATTCAAATCAATTTTCTCGACCTCAAGTGGATTAGAATTAGAGCAATCTCGAACATATACTTTCTTTGCATTCTCATCATTTTCGTTTCCTCCATTAGATGTTGACAAGTTCTTGATGTAAGATGGAACACAAGCAACCAAACAATTGGTTCTTTCAGCCAAATTACGACTCGAGAAAAGCCTCGATTGTCCTGACTTCAAACCCAGGGAAGAATTCAACTTCCTGGATAGGCTAAAAATGCTTCTGATCCCCGAAACTTGAGGAGAAACATTCTTTTGAGCACCTAATGGGAAACTCGACACACACTTTGGGCTGGACAAAATGTGCGGAGATTCTGCAAATGACGATCCTAGAAAATGCATGTTCTTGCACGGTACGAAAATTTTACAGCAGTGTTTCATGTTCGTTAATTTCCCCAAATTGCTTCAACTCATTACACAAACATCAAATCTCAAACGGTATCAACAAACAAACAGGTTACGGAATCGATAAACAATCGTAGATTGGGAGAACAACGAGATTCACAGCACATTCATCGTTTGGCGCATATATATTTCTACGAATGTAACAAACGGAGCGAGAGCAGGATTTTGTGGAATAGATCAGATAACATTATTGAGAAGCCAATATTATTGGAAAACTGGAAAAACGTACCGAGTAGTTTACCTTAATTAGCGTCGTATCGCAAAATCGATGGACGCCGTTTCCCTCTGGAAATCCATCCATCGCGGGATCCTATGAATCGATTCCGCCATCGCAGGAGCTTCGAAATCTCTGGTAGTTATGTTTGGCGGGTTATTCCTATTCCTATTTTTAAAGCATTTTTGACAAAGTCAGCATTTTATAACTGACACTTAAAAAAATAGTGTTATGTAAAGATGACAAAAATTTAAATTGAGAATTTTAATCCAATTATGGAGACTTCAATAAAATTTTAATATAAATCAATTTTGAATAAAAATAATATTTTGTTTATATTTTAATTTATTTTATTTGGATCTTATTTATAAATTATATTTTATAATTTAAGTTTATCAAATTTTTGCCTATATATATAAAATAATAATGCAATTTTTAAGTTTTCGTAAAATATTTTTATTTTGTATCGGAATCAATTCTGCTAAAGTATGCACAAAAATCGTGTGTATGCAGAACCATCTCGCATTTTATGATAGACCCTTAAAATCGTGTTTCTGCAGAACTATCTTCTCAACGCTATTTCCGTACGCCATATCGCTTTGCTGCTGCAGCACAAATTGCAACAATGGCGCTTTCACTGTCTTACGCTGTAGCCCCAAAGCCCACGCAGTCGATAATGGCCATGAAATATCAATCGCCACTGACGACGTCTCGCTGTCGGAAGCTTAACCGTCATTGTTCGTATGGAATTACCGTTCTTAATTCAGTTGCCGGAAAGTCCGCCGCCGCCGCCGCTGCTTCGGTCTCTTGCAAATTACATGAGGTGAGCCCTAGAGAAGTGTTGATTTCATAGGATTTCATTAATTTTGAAGCTTATTGCGTTTCCTGGTAGAGGGATTTTATCCGAATTGCTTGCTCTTTGCTGCTTATTGATGTGATTCTCTTTGGGAATAAAGTAAGCTGCCCTTAGATTTCACACAATTTTTCGTTCCCTTTCTTATTCATAATCTCTAATGTATGGATTCCTTCATTACTTGATGCCATAGGTGAAGCTCTATGTGTAGAACTAGGAATGACAAAGAGTTCACCTCTTTGTAGACATGGTAATCAAGGCAGGAAAATAACATTTTCTGTGGTTAGTGATCATAAAATACATAGAGTTGATGTCTAACTTTCAGGCCTTTGGGCCGAGGGTGTGTAGTTCGAGTTGTTGCACTCTCCATTGGCATGCTAGAGGTTGAGTGTTCGATCCCCTGTCGGGTGCATGAGTGTGTGCATGTGTGGGTAGGAAAATAAAATAAAAAAAAAAAAAAAAGAACTTTCGTTTTAGACCGTCACCCTCCTACTCCGAAGTAAGTACAAGGGCATTCTTGGTGAACACACAAGGGTATTTAAAAGAATGATGGAACATGTAGGCAGAGGATTGGAAAATAGAAGTTAAAGTTTAGGATGATGATCTTGATCCTGTGCTAAACCGACTGCTGAATAATGAAGTTTTGTGTTTATTATATGTTGTTTTGCAGCTTTCTTTGTTGTTCTAACATTTAAGTATTTAACATACAGAATGCTATGGTTCAACGCTTTTGTGACTCAACCCATTTATAATCTGGTTTATTGGTTTTCTTGTGTGGTTCAATAGTTTTATGTTATTCACAAAATGTGTAAAAGTTCAACATACTTACAACATTGCTAAACTTAAGCATATTTATACTATCGTTCAACAAATTTATACCATTATTCTAACAGTTTAGCACGCTACTGATGTCTTTTTATCGTTCAACTGGTTTCTTGTATAGGTCAATGAATATCTTATGTGGTGGTTTAACATTGTTTTTATATTATCCAACAATACAATTTTGAAAATGTTAGGTTCAAAAAACTTAACAAAACAAAGTAAAATTTGAATTTATATTCGAACATGGATTTTTTTCACTTGATTGTAGAATCCCTAAGTAAGAAAGAAAATGCTGTCAGAATGATGATATAACCAAAGGGGTGATCCTAAAAACAAATTCCTGTTAGCCTGTAATGAGAATATGGTTGAGACATATCAATGACATCAAAAAGGTTCAATATGATGTGTGAATTTTAAGGTAATGATCCTAGTTTAAGTGACTAATCCCGAAAAATGTGCTTTGTGTATCTTCTCACCAAAAGTTCTCTAATATGTACGTATAACCAGAGTACAGATTTTGCAGTTCCAAGAAGAACCATGATGGCGTTGATCCTATCAGGTTTCGTATATTCACATAATGCAGCAATTGCACAATCTGTTGGGTTCAGGGAATACATAGACACCTTCGATGGGTACTCATTTAAGTATCCTCAGAACTGGATTCAAGTGCGTGGTGCTGGTGCCGATATATTCTTCAGGGACCCCTATGTTCTCGATGAAAATATTTCAGTCGACATATCTTCACCCTCATCCTCAAATTACAAAAGCGTGGAAGATTTAGGCACACCGGAAGAAGCTGGGATGAAAGTAATGAAGCAGTATTTAACCGAGTTTATGTCTACTCGGCTTGGCGTTAGGCGTGAATCAAGTATTCTTTCCACTTCATCGAAAGTAGGCAGTGATGGAAGGCTATACTATGAAGTTGAGGTGAGATCTTTATAGTGCTTTGCATTTGTTGATTTTGGGAAATTGGAATTGTTTTTTGCGCTCCAAATATTGGTGTAGTTATGCTTCTCGAATCGATTAGGTGAACATCAAGTCATACGCAAGCAACAACGAATTGGCAGTGATGCCAGAGGACCGAGTGGTTAGTCTAGAATGGGATCGGCGCTACCTTTCAGTTCTTGGAGTGGAGAACAATCGGTTATATGAGTTAAGGTTGCAAACACCGGAGAGATCGTTTGCAGAAGAGGAAAGTGACCTTCGCGAGGTAATGAATTCTTTTCAGGTTAACGAAGTTAGTGTCTAAAAGGCTCTGTTTCTTTTGTCATAATATATAATTAATCATACATTTTTCTATCGATTAAACTTTTATGTGAGATTCATATAGTCTCCTCCACTGTATTTTGTTGCTCAGCTGTTCGTAAATACTCTTTGGAGGATGCTTTTCTTGCAATAGAAATCTTTTGTATGAAAGAAAATGACATGATTCAGAATTACAGAGAAAATTGCATTAGTCTTGACACCATAAACAATATAGTACATTTCAAGTAGCTATTAGAAAAGGAAATGAAGGTTATGATCACATTTGTTTTTCACTTTCTTGACAATAAAAGAGTTTTATGATCTGACCTGAAACTCACCTGCTCGTGTAAGAGCTCGGAAACCTTTGTACGGGCGCGAAGGCAAGTTCTTTAGATCTAAAGTATCTATTTTTAAGCCGGAGAGAGCGACTCCCATTGTCCTGAACCCAACTTGGAAAGTGGGAAAAACATTAAGCCGGCGTACTCCTGTCTCGAGCACCAATGTGCCAGACATCGAAGGAGCTTTGTCTTTGGGGATTCGCCCAATTGTCCACAGGCAGGTCTGCAGAATGTCGATGGACACATTATTACAAGATGCATAGATGGCTAATACTGCTATGTTACGCCACTTAAAATAACAAAACCATCGGAATTCAACATACCTTGTCAGCAAGAACATTTACTGATCCACAGTTTGAAGAAAGATCAGAAGATACAACACAAGATGGGAGTTGGAATTGTACTGTTATGGAGTCTATTGACTTTCCAGGATCGTTGCGAATTCCAACTAGAACACTTACACGGCAGGTCCCTGAATCAGAGGTCAGTTGTGGCTTCACATAAATGGGAGTGTTCTTCAACTTCTTTACCCTGAAAAATAAGGACAATGTTATGGGAACGTACTATGGCAATGTGCGAGTGAGAAACAGCCTGAAAAAACATAAGAAACCTGTAACTCATGAGCTTAAACTGTCCATCAGGTGGTACAAAGGATAGGATTTGGCTTGATTCCCATGGTCGAAGTCTAACACAAGGATGAAACCTCACATCATTTAGAATTGAAGGGTTTGCGAATGACAGTGTGAGATCCGGAAGACCTGATAGATGAGAATTTACTTGAACTTCACCATAGATCTCACATTTCACCAGAATTCCGTCTCTAAACAGCAGAAATACACAAAAACATAAGACGGTTCAGAACAGAAACAATAGAGGCTAAAACATATGAACTATGCATCAAGTTGAAACTAATGACACTTGCTCGAGTCAGTAATGTAAACTTCAGCAAAAAAATAATTTGAAACCTATGGAACTTGAGAGACGCGTTCGCGAAATTAAATATTTCAATTTTAGAAATATTGAGCAGAAATTCTGCTGAGAGAGGAGATAAGAATATATCCTACTTGAAAAATCCCAGCACCTGTTTATGGTGGCATCCATTTCTTCCACAAGATCAACGTAAACCTCATTGCTGGCATGCTTAAGGTCAGTTTTCCGCCAGGGAATGCAAGAAGATGTTGCACCTGGAAGCCTATTGCTCATATTGGATGTGTTACCAGTGACGACACTTAAAACCTTGCTGACAAGATTCGGAGGAGCTATCATTTCCCTCAGAATATTCGGTTCTGTAGTTAGAGGAAAGCCATTGTCTATCATCTCATCCAGCAGCTGAAACAATTACTCAAGTTCTGTCAATTTAAGATTCTTTGTATATCAGAAGAAATAAAGATACATCAAAGCTGCCCTAAGAACTTTTTTCACCAATAGTCTACACCATAGTGCACAGCGAAGAGAAAATTAGTTACCTCATAAACAATAACAAAATTATCTTTAATCAAATCTTCATTCAGTCCATCCAAATAATCTGTAAGAACATCAGCTACCCTGCAAAGGAACTAAACCTCAAACTGTAAAGTGCTCGACAAGTCTTTCTGCTGACAGAAAATATAGAATTGTGCTACCTAGCATGATGTAGAAAAGCCTCGGGGACCAGAAAACAAGGATAAGAGATTGAGAATGTAATAAAGCAGTGATTGATGCACATCATATGGTATTATACCACCATGCCATCGGAAAAATATAGCGTCAACAATGCAAGAGAATGATCCGCTTACATATACAACTGTAATACAGCATATGTCTGGAATAAGGTTAATAGCCAAACAAAATATTTCCAATGCAACTATTTCCTATAGTTAATAAAACAGAACCAATCTTTCCCTCAATAACACCCGTCAGCATTTACGGAATCCTTTTAGAGATGAAAAGAAAACAAATCATTATAAGGTATTCTTCAGCTCATACTAAGTCAATGGTCCGCAGGTTATGATTATAAATTAATGGAACAGAGGACATTCGTTGTGGTGATTCTAAAATTTATATATAGCCCATGGATCACCTCACATCAATTTACAAGTCTAGTTATTTTATCCATACAAAACGATCACAAAAAAAAATAAATAAATAACACTCAAACTGCTAGACAGTGACACAGAGAGTGTGTTAGTGTTTTTCTCATACATGATTTCTTAAAATTATTATTCAAAAATACTACATAACAATAAGAGTCAACAAAAATGCAAATTAAACATAATCATCTATAGTACCTCACAACAAAAACACCTAAAATTAGAAGAACTAAACAAAGTGTGGACAACCAATGGACGAAGAAATTGAAAATGTAGCATACAACCCACCTCAATCGCCATCAAAGGCGGCATTTCAACTTGCGTGCATGCCAAAAACGTGATACCCTCACGAACCACTTGAAAGAGGTAATGGGTTGGTGAAGCTATAACTGGTACAAGCTGTAGCATCACATAAGGTCTCAACGTTAAAGCTCAACAAGAAATTTGGTTTAAGCTTTCAAATACACGAGCAAACACAGAAACACGAAACTACGCACTCAATAGCCACAATCATAAGTACAGTCACCATCTTACCTTCAAGGAATCGCCCTGAGTAAGTATTTGCTCCCAAAACCAAGCACAAATGGATCGATCAACCCGGTGGCCAGTGAGCTGTTTTTCCAGCATTACTTCCCTGATATTTCACAAATCATCTTCAAATTTTCTAGTCCATTGATTTAAAATTAAAAAACTACTCCAATATATGAGTTTCCATCAATAACTATGAGCAGATAAGACAGATCTACAACCCTAAAAGTTCCACATTCCATTCCCAATATGCATAACTAAAAATTACAAAACGCGATTGCTAACTGAAACTAAAATTAGAACACATTTTCAATCAATTAGTTGCAGGTAACCTAAAATATGGATAAGTACAACTATATTCGGAGTAGAACAAGCCTTCCTAAGATCTCCGCTGATGGAATATATTGCCTTCTTCCTGCTCTCAATTGCCGTATACATTAAACCACTTATTAAAAGCATTACAGAGCTATATTCCAACATTTTGCACTGGCAAGTTATTGAGGCAAACTCTAAGAGAAGTGAAAACAGAGAAGGAAGGGGATAGATCGTCGCCAAAACGATGAAAAATTTGAAATCGTACCCAGAATCTGATAGGAGAAATATGCACTGCAACATGTTGATTCCTCTCCAATTTCTTCTGCCTCGAAGCAGCTCTTGATTTCGAGGCTGAGTGATCGATCCCTCAGAACGATTTGTATCTAAGTGACCCCTTCCTTCATTGCTTTCTGTCCTCGATTAGTTGTTCATAATTTTCCATTGAAGATGTAAGACAATATAATTAACATATGAAATTTATAGAATTATAGTCGTATTTTTTGTATTATTATTTTACCTAAATTTATTCATTTATAATAATAATTCTATTTATTTATAATTTTATTATTTCTATTTTTTACTTATTTTATTATTTTATTATTAATTATTTAATAACTTTTTTTATAATACTTCTAATTTATTTTTTATATATCTTATTTTTATAAGGGTGTGTTTGTTTGGGGGATTGGATTGGACTTACACTATTCATTTAATTTTTTCTCCCAAAAATATCAAATCAAACACTTATTTTTTATTTTTTATATTATACTAAAAATCAATTTTACATTAAAAATATCAAATCAACATCTATTTATATCACATCATACAACTATTAAATTCAAATTTTTTATTATTCAAATTCCAACTCAAATAATATTATATTTTAATATCTTTATCGAAAAATTGTGATATATTAGTTTGGAGTAAAAAAATATAATATAAAAATAAAATAAAAGTCAAATTGCATAAAATTGCAAATCACCTTTTGTAAAATTTGCATAAAATTGTGATTTTACAAAGTTGCAAATAGCCTTGTGCAACAATAAGCAAGAGTTAGGTAGATCTGAGAATTGAGACTTTCCAATGTCTTCGCAAGGGATGGTCCGGTCATCTAGAGATTAGACTTGTGACCGTAAAGTCATAGATTCAAACCCTCGACGTCTTAGGTCATCTGTCACATATGGTTCGTCTAGTGTGACTTTTCCGTCGAGTCTGGTTTCATAAATGGTAACGATTAGTCATCCTATGTCACTTTCTTGATTTCGATCTCCATACGAGGACTTAAGGAGGTTACATACCACGGGGCTCCGAGAGTTGCAGCTCCAGTAGTCGGGCCCAAGTAAAGAGGGCTTTTGAAAGCCAAAAGTGAGAAGTGGGCAAGCGACTACCCTCCTAGATGGATAGTTACGTTGTTTTAGGATTAAAAGTATAAAGCAATCCAACCACAGGCAGGTTCTTTGGACATTGTGTGTGCTCTCATCATGATGTTAGAATTTCATGGGAGATAATGAATTATATTATTGATCATCAAAACAATGACATAACATATAAAATCAAATTTAAATATAAATTTATTAAATCTATATCTAAAATATTTCAACAATGGATAAGTGCTTGAGGAACTTCCAATTGTGGCGTGGAGTCTGACACTCCACTCCATGCCTCTACCGTTAAGACTTATACAAATGGTTTAGCTATCCAATGTCCGTAATTTTTTTATTTAAAAATTAAATTAAACTAAATAATATATGTAATAGTTGTATACTTCGAAACAATTTTTTTAATTTATGTAAATTTTTAAATAATAAAAATAAATATATACAAATTCCGTTTCATAAGAAAAATATTATTTTTCATTTTTGGTTCGTTCTAAAATAAGGAAATCATTTTTTAATTTAATAATTGTATTAGTTATCTAACATAATAAATACGCTTACGACTTATAATATATTTTACGCAAATGTCAACTCTTTTATATTATATAATATTAATAAATGTATTTTTGTTTTTTTTTCATTATAAATCAATATAATACTAATATTAAAAAAATATTAGATAAAAAATAAGTATTAATCTTTTTATGGAACGGAGAGAATAATATGAATGATGGATATATAATTGTGAGTTGAATGAAAAGTTTATTAATTGAAGAAAATAAAGAATACCAAATAACATAACAAAAAAAATAAAAAAAATAAAAAAAAAGGTGAATTGAGCGGGTTAAATGGCTGTGGATGTACCAATGAGAAACTCAATTACACTTTATAATTTAATAATAATAATAATATAATATTTCTTAGATAACTTGGAATACATGCATATGGAGAACCAAGTTTAAACACAAATAAAAGGAACATGAATCCGGCCGTCCAACCTAGTTTGCAGAGTATTAGATTCGGCCGGAGTTTTACCTAATACGCACTTTCTGGTAGTGGCTACGAGTTCTCACGTCATAAATAAACATGAATCCACAACACCTTATTAAACCTTAATTTCTTTCTACTAAGCTCATGCAATAATAATGTTCTCATATATCATTTGAGATACTTGATGAACCACTTCAACTTATCCGAGTGAGCCTCCTCGGCACTTTGGACAGCAAATTTGTCGTTGTCGTCATACCTAGTAGTCCATCCGTGTTTAACGCCGGGATATATTTTCACGTAGTTGTCAATCTGCGCCAAAAATGACAACCCCTTTTTTCCCATAAATCGCCGAGCCATGTGCTGTGCATGTTGTGCTCAATTACAGCCAGCCGTAATGAAATGTTATTACCTGGTTTGCTGATAGAACCTCTCCTAATTGTATCAAAAGCTCGGGTGGGGAATACTCGTCGAATTCTGCTCCAAGTATGGCCATTGGTGTCGTCACTTCTACAATCCCCACAATAAACGGCATCTTGTTAATAAAATAGTTCGAAGACTTCAAGATTAATAATATTGTTCACCTGTATATATATATATATATGACAGACCATCGTTTTCCTTTTGTAAACGATGGTGACGCTAACAGTGTGTTTACATTCAATTAATGTAATTTCTAAACACGTATTCTTTCGGTGACGGAACCAACTTCCAAACCTTAAGGAGGCTACTGCATTTTCTTAATTCTCTTTTACCCATAAAAAAAAAAAAAAAAAAAAAAAAAAAAAAAAACAATGACAAATATAATAGTTTAAAAGTTTAGGAAAGTAAATTCAATATGATTATAGATTTATAGTATTTTTTTTTTTAATTCTACACTTAAAAAAAAAAAAGTAAAACATTAGGGTTTCAGGTAGTTGCCCCCAAATCCCAAGGTAGTTCTATCTATGATTTTTCCTAATAAAAATATATAATATTATTTTTTTATGAAATGTCTAAAAATAACAAAAATAAATATTTTATACTCCGTCCATAGTAAGAATTAGCCTCATTGGAGCCAAAACGGTTATTAAAACAAAATATACGTACTACTTATTTTGTCATTTTTTTAAAAAATATAATTATACATTTTACTCACATTTTAAAATTAATAATCTATATATTTTTTATTTTAATTAAACTATAATGTATAATTAAATATTTTAAAAAATTTAGTTAGTAATAACAAGAAATGAATGAAGAATATAATAAAAGTAGTGACAATTATGATAAACAAAGGGTTGAATGGGAGAATAATAATTAAATATGAATATGTGACATTGTCAAAATTAATAATTTAAGTAAATTTAACAAACTGACAAAAAAATAAAAACAAAGTAAATTTGACAACCGAAGAAAAGTGTAAAGAACGGAAACCTAAATATCCAAATAGTTAAAAACATTCCAAACATAGTAAAAATGTAAAGAGAGTGTCCTCTCGACTTCTAGATTGAACATTGGCAAGAACATTGTTTTGGAAATTCAAGATGCAAGGCTCTATCATCATTATTTTAGTTTATTTGCTATGTAATCTTCACGATTTTATATAAGCATCACAACCAACTTCTATTTAAACACAATACAAGAAAATATTCACCGTTTATTTTTTCCACGGAAATTGGGCCCGGATGCAACAAAACTGCAGCTTGTATGCAATCAAACTTCGCCAGGCTCACCACCAGTATTCCTACAATCGATTGCAAGAATCTTAAAACATATAATGTTTGTGTATGTACACTAATCTAAAAGAAACTTGGGTACCTCCCCAGCAAAAACCAGCAGCTCCTAATTTCAATACACCACCACTCCTCAATTCAGCAATCACATTCTTAGCATCCTCAATGCTGTTTCCCTAACACATTCGATATAAAAAACATATATGTGTGTAATTGTAGGAATTTGGAAGCAGATCTATCATAGTTTTGAATATACTTTCCGAGGTTTACGAGGGTGCTCAGCCACTATTATTCACTGTAACATACATGGTTCTACACATTTTGTTCCTTCAAATGAATACTTGATTTCAAGGATTTTAATTTTTCAGCAAAAAACACCAACCGGTTTATGATTAGAAATCCATTCTTGCATATTGTTTTCTTCTTTGAATGGATCGCCATTGAAGAAATCAGGAACAACTACTAAGAACCCCGAGGATGCAACTTTGTCTGCCAGCTTCCTACAGTACAAGGCAGAAGAAATTGATCCGTTTATTTTGGATAGATTTCTTCATTGTTGAAATACAAGTGGAGACAGAAATCTCTGTTGAAGTATACGCTACACATTCGAGAATCAAGAGATTTATGGAATCACTACTTCAAAATCGAGGCATTACTTGTAAATCGAGGAGAAACCATAGATAAATGTGGTGAGAACCGATAGAATTATAGAAAGGGAAATTTGAAGCCGAATCGGAATATAAATGAAAACAGAGCATGTATGAAAATCGAATCGATGTACCTCAACTTCGGAGCTTCAAACCCTAACACAAAAAAATTAAACAAGTGAAAGAGGTTAAGCTCGAACAACTTGTAAATTCCGAAGCTCGTGACTAATTGTGGAGACTGAAATGGAGTTGAGAAATTGGACGAAACAAACTGTGTTTTACCGTATATGTCCGAAATTAGAAGGACAGCGAGGCTGGAATTGCGTTCCCCGGAGACGTATGCATTGAGAGCTCCAATTTGTTGCAGCTGATCTCCCGATCTGGTGTCGGAGCTGAGTGGCGGGCGATTCTCAGTGCAGTGTCGGCCGAGCATTTTCGCAGGAAATTAATGGTGGAGTACTGGAGAGTGCTGCAACGTTTTCGAACGGATGATCGCCCTGTTACGCGCACTCTGTTCATGATATGCAATAATGATATACTCCCGCCGTCCCATAAAAAAAGGTTTTTTTTTAGAGTAGTTTTAGAAATATTAGGATTACATTGACATATAGCAAAAATAAAGTAAAAATTATTAAAATAATTTTATTAGTATATGGGATATAAAGGTAACGAATTTGTGTAATATATTATAAATTGTAAAGGTATTTGTAATGTTAGGTAGATAGTACAGTTATTTAAAAAAAATATAAATATTTTATTATGGGACGGATTAAAATAAAAAAAATAGATATTTTGTTATGGTAAAATAAAATAAATGATTGATCTAATTTTTGTTTTTAAAAAAAAACATAAAATATATAATGGTTTTGGCATGACATCCGACCAACATCGTTGCCGTAGGGTCTGTGTCTTTTCATTTAGTTTGGTAAATTAAATTTTGGTATTAAAATAATATATGATATGATATTTTATAAGAGAAATTCATTTTTAAAAAATGCAGAATTTAAATAGTAAAAATTTAAAATTTGATAGTTAAATAAACACAGGTACTTTTATTGAATTGAAAACATAATGGGATATAATTATGATACTATTTGATTTCGTAATATTATTACTCCCTCCGTCCCAGAAGAAATGTTTTGTTGGGAGTTGGCACGAGAATTAAGGAATAATAGTATTTTATTGAAGGTGTGTATAAAGAAGGATGTAAAAGACTATAATGCCCTTGCTTTTCGAAAGAATTTAAAAAAATAGATTAGAATTATAATCAGGGGTAGTTTTGAAAAGTAAGAATAATTTTGTTATAAAGTGGGGACCATGGTTACTAAATAAGGAAACAAGACAATTATTTTGGAACGGACAAAAATGGAAAAACAAGACAACTCTTTTGGGACGAAAGGAGTGTTATATTTGAAAAATGAAGAGTATGAGTGGATTTCTTTACAGGGTTTTGGAAAAAGTGGTGATTTTTATTTCAATTTTAAAATTGGTTTGAATCTATGTGTTTATTTTATGTATAAGGTTTTATATATATATATATATATATATATATATATAAAAGTGATTAAAAAGAAAAATCAAATAAACCCTAATACATATAATTGTTTACGTTTGCAACAAAAGATATCTCACACACCAATAATATCCAAAAAAATCCAATGCAACATTTTGGAAGAACCAACATTATTATCACCCTTTGCCTCCTAACCTTATGGTTTCAAGTATTTTGCTCACTGAGTTCAAATTTTAACTATTTATTCAAAAATAATTACAAGAAGTATTTCCCAAAACTCATATTAAGTGGGTATTCCGTCTCATATTCAAAGGTCATAATTTTCCATTCACTTGTTCGATATTCCAAAAATTGCTATTGTCTATTCTTTAAAAAAAAAAAAAAAAAAGGAAAAAAAAAGAATCAAGTGTTATTTCTTAAAATTTGACATGTCCTTGTGATTATGGTGTGTGTTTTTTTTGTAAAAAAAATAATATATTACACACATTCATTATTTTTATATTCCCTATACAATTTCTTATGTCTCATATAAGAAATTATAACACTTCAAACTATTTCACAAAACAAACACACCATAAATATTTCTATAATATTTAAAATATATTTATTCTACATGTGATGAACATACTTCGCACCCAAAAATTGTCTAGGCCATAAAAGTATATAATGAAAAATCTTCTTTTAGCACAGCAAGAAAAGTTTGCAGGAGATATGCTTCCATACACTTCTGAAGAAATTATGCAAAAGACAATGATATATTGCTAAAGATTAATGATGAAAGGGCCTAGGAGAATTAAAGATTATTTATATCAAGGATCATATTAGTTTTATAATATATTATCAAAAAAAAATAATAATAACCATTATACTAATTAATATTTCTAATGATATGAATATATAATCGAATATCAACATATTTAACTATTAATTAAAGTTAAGATTATGCCTAAATTGGAGTCACCTGAAATCAGCCATAGTTATGGTAAATCTTTCCGTTTTTTCTTTTGACCATGGTTGCTTCCACCACTTCTTGTCTATTGCCACATCAGAAAGTTCAACTATTATCTTGTTTATAATTCTATTCATTGCAAGATTACCAGCCCAGTTGGCAAGTTCTGCAAAGTCAGCTCCAACAAACTCGGAAGTGGCTCTTACTATCTTTAAAAAGTCAAAGGCTCCTTCAAGCCTCATACTGGATGTGAGTACCGATAGTATTTCAACTTTTGCACATTCATCTACAATGTATAAAGCGATTTCATGGTCAAATCTTCCGGGCCTCCTCAAGGCTGGGTCAATGGCGTTTGGTCTATTGGTTGCTCCAATTACTAAAATATGGCCACTTCCACAATCAAAGATTTCAGAAGTTTCTTTGTCCTCAATGGGTTTAAAGGGCCTATTTGATTTGTCCATGGATGTAAATAGTTGTGTTACAATGCGTTTCTCCATTTCTCTCTGAAAATTGTCCCATTTTGAAGCAATTGCATCAATCTTATCAATAAACACAATTGATGGAGTAGTCTTGTATGATTTTGCAAACAACTCTCGTATATATATATATTTTTTTTAGATACACTTGAAAAGACTTACAAAATAAAAATTCATATATTTAATACGTCAACCAAACAATACAAGCTTCCAAAGTTTGTATTACTAAATTCTCCAACTTCATGACAATATCAATATAAACATCATGAAATTAATGAGTTGGGTAAGGTGTCGAACACAGTTTTGTACCGGAGCATATTATATATTGAAATGGAATCATTCAAAATACTTTCCTACGAACATCATAAATCAAACTTTGATTTTAATAAATATTAAGTTTTAATTTAGTTTACCCAATCCACAAAAAATAACAATAAGGAATAAAAATCTACCGTTCAAAAAACATCCAAATCGTGAATGCGGCAGGCATTAGGTTAGCATAACTACTTGTAACTATCCTTAAACAAGTCACAAATTTTGATGAATTACCTGAGACGCCGGATACCAATTCAGTGGCAAAAATTTCATAAATGTAGCTCCAAGTTCATTGGTAATAGCCCGAGCTAGTGTCGTTTTCCCACAACCTGGTAGGCCGTGCAACAAAATTTCAGTCACAGGCTTTACTCCAAGATGAAGGGGAAGTTGCGGATGGCACAGCGGCACAAGAGCACTCCTAATCAATTGATCAATCACATCTTTCATTCCTCCAAAATCCTGAAACATTGGCCCTTATTCTTATACCCACCATTGTTGCCATTGCCATTCTTGGTAGCCTTAACTCAAATCACTGCCCAATTGTCCTTCTTCATACATCATTTCTACCTTTTTTGCCCGATCGCATGGAAAATTCGAACAAAACTTCCTAATTAAGGTTTGGTATAAATTTTGACCGTAACAAAATCTTAAAATCAAGATATGAAATTGAGTGAGCTTTAGAAAGATTGATTAATTGGGTTTTAAAAAATGTTGGATATTTTAGATATTCTGTTTCAGATTTAGTAGATTTATATTTATATTTTTTGTCTTATCCATAGATTAGTTGACTTAGATCTGAGTCTATCGAGTCTGTTTTGTATTGCCTATATATAGGCCCATTGATTTTGATGATCAATAACTCAATCTCATTATTTTTCCCCAAAATTGCTAATATAGTATCAGAGCCTATTTTTCTCATGCCGTAGATATAGTCTATCAACCCGTGTTTCACCGGTTACATTCAACCTGGATTGCACCCGGAGGTCTTGTGATTTTGAGATCATGGCTTTGCAAATATGTCTCTGAAATGTTTCTGAGATCTATTTTTTAGTCTGATTTTCCAAAATAGAAACCCTAGCTGCCACAACCGTTGTTCGCTGCCACCCGCTACTTGCCAGTCAACACTGCCGTTGCCGTTGGAAATGCTCATCGTTGCCGGCCAGCCACAAAAAATTTGCCTCCAACTGCCGTGCATGGAGGCTCCATGCGCCACCGATGCAAATCACGGTGGAAGAGCTTTTCCACTGCCGCTCTTCCAGCCGTGCGTGTGGGTGCGTGGGGCTATATCCGGCTGCCGCCTCCTGTTTTAATTTGCTACATTGTGGTGTGGTTGGTTTTATGATCGGAGGTTATTTTGTTTTAGCGACTGTTACTGGTTGGTTTATTCGATGTTTAATGATCTATCTGGTGTATGCGATATGTTTTATGATCTTTCCAATTTTTGTGATGTGATATGTTTGTTGTCTTCTATCTATTTTGTGATCTGTCTAATGTTTGCGATCTGTTACGCAATTTGTCTGGTGTCTGTGATTTGTTTTGCAATTTGTTCGATGTCTGCTATCTGTTTGTTGTTTTTGATTTTTCAGATGTCTGCGATCTGTTTTGTGTGCAATCTATCTGCGTTTGACTCTGATTCCATTCAAGTCCTGTCTGCGTTCAACTCCGACTCAGAGCCTATTTCTCCCAAACCAATCTAAAATCTATCTGTTATCTGTCATCTTTCCGTTGTCTATCTATTGTCTGCATACGACTAAAATTTGTTTGCAATCTGTCATATGTTTGTTGCTTGTCTGTTGCCTGAAATTTGTGTCTGATTTGGCATATGTCTGCTACTTGTCTGTTGTCTGCGTACAATCTATTTGGTGTTTGTGATCTATCTGTTTTCGACTTCGGTGGAGAGTCAACTATTTTCGGCTCGGGTGGAGAGTTGATACGCTGAAATTTGGTGATGTTCAAAGCTAAAGTAGGGAATTTCTTATGAATTTCTTGGATGGAATGTGCATTTATAGACATGTTCATATATAAATGGTGAAAATGAAGTTGTAGACCCTATATCGTTATATCACAATTATTTATACTCTTTAACTGGTGAGTTTCTAGGTCGAACACAGAGATTTAAGTTGCAAAATTTAAATCAAAAATTGAAATACTGGTGACGCACAGGGAAAAAGGGTAAAATAGCTCGCTTGTAAGCGAGCCGAAGATTAGCTAAGGCAGAAAGTAAAATAAAGCAAGTAAAACAAAGTTATTTGGAGTTGAGGCAGTGAACGGGCGATGAATGCAGCGAGGGCGGTTGCGAGCAGAGGTGAGCGGAGGCGAGGATTATAATTATAATGTATGATAATATGTGAACGGTGGGAGCATTAAGGTGATGTTGTATCTGATCTGTATGTTAAAGGAAGCTAGATTCTCATGGATGAAGTGAGCGAATGAGGAATGTGAATTAGCGAAGCATATACTTATAAGACGTAACGGTAGAAGAAGTAGATGTAATTGCATAAAAACTGTTAAAACATAAAACGGCTTCCTGGTACTTGACCTTAAGGGATTTACAACAAGACTTCAATGACGTCTAGAATCAGAACATTATACGCAAGAAAATCTACTGTCACTAGAAGTTCTGTGGCCTAATAGATCCACGCCTATGCTCAGTAAATTATCCCAATCTCTGTCCCATTAGTGGCTTTAGCCTGTGTTACCTATTTTAATCATAATCAAATTCAGAACAACAACTAAGCAGGTCGACAAGGCTCCCGCGTACATAGCTATGTTGAACTACCTAGAATCTGTTAATGAATACAACGCGAAACTAGGCTAAAATAGTCGATTCTTCTTTGTTCTTCTATAGTATAATGGGATTTTAGTCCTAACGTCTAAATGCAAATATGACTTTTGGATAGAAACGATAACGGAGAAATCTTGATACTTCATTACTTACTACGGAAAACAGTAAAATTCTACATTATGAAAGCAGTAAATCAAAGTAGGAACAAAACAGTGAAACTAGTCTAAAAAGTAATAAAGTGAGCAGTCAGATGAGGAGAAAGTCTCGACTCCTCTCGCCCTTCCTAAATATAGAACTCCCTTACAGAATTGGAACTCTAGAAAATCTACAGAAATCAACACTCAAAAGCATATATTCGTGTGTATGTATATATTTACAAAAGAATTCTGGCCCTATTTATAGATCTACGGAGATGGCGGTTGCAGAGCAGTTGAGCGGCAGTTGAAACTACTTTGACAATTAGGCGGTTGGTGGTTGTTAATCTGTTGAAACAGTTGCACCGGCCATAACTCCTTGGGTGCCGCTTCGCTCGCTTCAGAATGTAAGGGCAGACCTTCCTCGCTTACCTTGATGGCTAGAAGGCATCAGCTACAACATTTTTTTTGCCTTCATGATATACAATTTCGAGATCATAATCTTTCACCAATTCTAACCATCTTCTTTGTCTTAAATTTAATTCTCTTTGGGTGAAGATATATTTCAAACTCTGATGGTCAGTAAACATTCTACAATGGGCACCATAAAGATAGTGCCTCCAAATCTTCAAAGCAAACACAACTGCTACCATCTCCAAGTCATGTGTAGGATACTCCTCTTCGTGAGGTTTTAGTTGTTGTGACACATAAGCAATAACTCTTTGATTCTGCATTAAGACGCATTCCAATTCTTTTTTTCGAAGCATCACTATAAACTTCAAAATTCTCACCCTCTACTGGTAAAGCCAAGACTGGTGCTGAAGATAATCGATGTTGCAATTCTACAAAGGAGGACTCACACTCACAATCCCAATTAATCTGTGTGTCCTTCTTCAGCAAATTAGTTAATGGCTTCGCAACGTTAAAAAATAAAAAATGAATCTTCGGTAATACCCTGACAAACCCAAAAAGCTTCTTACTTCTGATTGATTGGTAGGTCTTGGCCAATCCGAGATTGCCGCCACTTTAGAAAGATCTACTGAGATACCCTTTTCAGAAACTACATGCCCCAAGAAAGCAACATTTTTCAACCAAAAGTCACATTTGGATAACTTGGCATATAACCTCATCGCACGCAGTGTATTTAGTGTCACACGCAAATGTTTTGCATGTGTCTTTTTATTTAGAGAATATATTAAGATATCATCGATAAAGACCACCACAAACCCAATAGTTAGAATAAAATAATTATTCTGACACATAGGTAAAAAATCAAAAGTTAAATTATATCATATTCATAGTGAATGACAATATTTTGGTATCCTCTATGAAACATACTCCCTTTGTCCCACTCCAAAAGATCTTTTGGGTTTTGTAATAGATTAAAAGATAATAATATTTTAAAATTATTCTAGCTAGTATATTGAAGAATGGCACGTGGCTATTTGGAATAAAAAAATGGTCGACATTATTTTCTTGGGATGTTTTTACAATACTAATTTTTAAAAAAGTTGCATAAATATTGCGTAAAAAGTTTAAGTTCGTAATAATCTTTATTTTGTAGTTCTAAAAAATCATAATCTAAACTAATTTTATTATATAAGGTAATGGGCAACGGCTATTGTAACACCCCCAGTTGGCTCGTACTGGAAATGCTACCGCCACACTGCATCATGAAGTCGTCACCTCCTACTTCGGGCCTCACAATACAGTGCTAAGGCTAAAATTAACTATAAAAGCGCATTATTATATAACTAAATCTGATTTATGAATATTTACAAAACACACTCCTAAACAAGAGGTTTTTTCGGTTAAAAATTTACATATAATACAATAGATGTAAGTTCACTCACTCAGCCTGTCTTTCTATATCCCGAGACGTCCCCTGTCCCGGAGGTTTCATGCATACCTGAACCAAATTTTTTTCTAAAAAAGCAGTCTAGAATTAAATCTATTTTAAGAACTAACGTAAAATATGTCATGCATACCTTTTAAAATAAAGTCTAATCTCTGTCAATTATAAAATATATGTCATGTCATGTCATACCAATAGTGAAATGATGCAACAAAGATATCAAACTCGACAACAATGTACATGCACATATATATACACATCATCGAAGTGAGCAGCCGGAATAACCTCGACCCCATAATAACAAACTCACTAGACCATCTTCAATAAATAGCCGAAAAATCATCGGCTCAAGGAAGGACCTGATAAACACATAATAATATAACAGTCATCCAGTCACTTCCATATACCCACCATACAACTCCCACAATCAATACATTGATAGACGAACGGTGTCGCCATAAATCACAAGACGCCCCATAGTCTGTGATAGCGAAGATAGGACCCTCACTGACTAGCCCTATCCCGTGTAATGTAGTAGAATCCGTGCAACCTGAAATCACCCAAGGGAAACCCGAAAACTCTATTCCTCCTTGTGCGCCCAAACGGGATCACGTTTGGAGTTTGGCATATGATCCTAAACTACCGGTAGACCTCACTAGTTGCTACTCCAATGAGTGGAACAACACCGAACACGAATGATTAGACCAAATACGTCTCAACTACAGACATCATTTTCTGATAATTTATACATCATTGTAATTTGAATGTATATGATTTTGGAAGTAATTATTTGCAAATGTTTTTGTATTTAAGAAAAATTTAATCCTGAAATTACATGAGGTAGTTTTCGTATTTTTTTCTAATTGATTTTTTTAAAATCAGATATCTTAACTAATTTTTTGAATTACCAAAATATCCTTAATCAAACTCAATCGTAGGATTGCCATTAGAAATGATCAAACGAATTAAAAATATTTAGAATGCTCCTGAATTTTAATCAACGTCAGGAGGATACCAAAATTCTTAAAAAAAACAATTAAGTGAAGGTCTAGGATTTGAAGTTCTAGGATTTGTTAATGTATCATTAAATTATTTTTTTCAAAATACAAATTAAGGCTTGTTTATTTTACCAATTTTCATTCATTTTACACTATTTGATTTTAAAAAAAACATCGCAGCAAAGATATATTTTTTTTCATAAAACATTAAATCAAATAGAAATTTTTTCCAAAATTCCAAAAACTCCAATCTAAACAAAGTTGTACAATTCTGTTAAGAAATATGATGCGTACGTTGATCAGGTGCATATTACATGAAGACAATGAAAAAATTAATTTTAGTCCCAAAATAACCAAAAGTAATCAATTTTGATTTCAATATAAATAATTTTAATTAATTTTGGTCTCACTTTAAACATTTTTAATCAATTTTGTCCGACCGTTAAAAATCTAATGGAAATCTTTTAGTTTCAATATAAAAATTGATAAATAAAAAGTGTACGTTATTTTGGAAGATTTTGTCTACAATTTTATTATTTATCAATTTTTTTTTCCTTCCATAAACATTCAATTAAACACTTCTTTTTTTATATATATACTATCATATTAAAATTTAATTTTATATTTTTAAAATAGTTGTTTAATTGGATGTTCAAAAGTTTGAAAATTTTGGTGAATAGTAAAATTTTAGAAAAAAAATTCCAAAAGAATATACCCGATAATTAAAATTGATACATTTTAATAATTATATTGAGATTACTAATGATTTCTCTTCCATTTTATCTAACTATTTTAAATTCAAAATAATTTTCTTATAAAATATATACCAACAAAAAAAAAAGAAAGGCACACAGAAAATTAAACAGGGCCTGTGATCATTTTTAACTGTGGAACCAAAATTGATTAAAATTATTTTTATGGACCAAAATTGATTTTTTGTTCCCGAGTTATAACATAACATATTTTATCATAATCATGCAGTATACATAATATATGCAAATTACCGACAAAAAGTTATATATTGTATCATAAATATATTATATGATAGTTTAGAAGATATGCAAATTACCTTTATATGATATGTTGATTCGATCAATCACCACCTAATTCGCAGCCATCTAAATAGATTATAACCTTACGTACTAAATAATTATTTTTGTATCAGCAGAAAAACTGCTCCAAAATTTTCACTTCAAAATTCAAATAATAATGTCGCCGGAAGAGATCGTAGCCAAAATTTGTATATTAACTCCTAAATCAAACAAACAATGCAATAATTGATTTTGAAATAAATTAGCGAGTTCAAAACCATAAATTTCTTCTTTTTTAAATCGATAGAGATATCCTTCCAAAGTAGTAGTTCTTGAATGAATATCTGAAGCTGAATGGACTGACTTGAGGCATTCATGGTTTTGTGCAGCTGGGCGTTTCCTTGGCAATGCTATGCTCCAAAAATATTTTAATTAGCATATGATCCTCCAATCAGCTTCAGCCAAACATTTTCTCGAATCTTTCTTTCATATGCTCATAGTTTCTAACTTGCTGCAAATTAATTCAATAAATAAACAAACTGCTCAAGGATGAATGGAGCAAATGTATTGAGATTCAAAATAATAATAAACTCAAAAAATACATACCTTGTCAGAAACCGAACGTGATATTCTTCCCAATGCTATTTTCAAATGCACTTCTTTGATTGTGCGAGTTTCAGAAGATGAAACCGACTCATCGTCTCTGGCAGCTAAGGCAGCTTCCTTCATCTACAATAGTCAAAATTGTTATTATAAGAAAACTTTAAAAGAAAGACAAAAAAAAAAAAAAAAAAAGAAAATATTTGCATTACTTTTTTCTTGATTAATTTATCAGGTTTGTGCTTGTGATTCCTTTCACAAAAAACTTTTTAAAGCCAAATTCAATCATCCTTTGCAATTCAAGGCAAAATTTGAGCATAAAGATAATGTAATGCAAGGGAAAAAAAAAAAAAACAAAAGGGAAATCAACGACCGAACCAGATTTTTTAGATCAGCACCGCTGAAATTTTCACAAGCAACATCTCTTCCAAGAGCGATTAGATCCACACTGGCATCTATTGGCTTTTTCCGAGCAAGAGCTTTCAAGATCAATCCTCGATCATCAGGGCTAGGTAGAGGTACATATATACGTCTATCGAATCTCCCTGGCCGGAAAAGAGCATCGTCCATGACATCAGGCCTGGCAATAAGTGAGTGAAAAATGTTGGGTAAAAAAAAAATAAGCAAAAGCAATTGATTCAGAAATTTGGTTCAACCTCTAGAATATGTCGCACCCACCTATTTGTCGCTCCAATTACATAGACACCATGTCTCTCTGCTGCGCCATCGAGCTCCGACAATACCTGTATTGTACAACATCAAAGATTAGTTTTGCTAAAATATTAACATGTTTCCCAAGAAGATAAGGGGCTATGCAACCAAGGGAACGGAATAATAAGCTAACCTGGTTTACAACCCTCTCAACAACCCATGCCCCTTCATGGCCCCGTTGTGTCATCAATGCATCCACCTGATACAAAATAAAATGTGTCGAAAGAAGATCAATCCACTGTATACAATTGAAAGTGGGAGACAAAAGCACAATCGATTTATATTTCTGTTGCAAGTGAAACAAATAGGTCAAGCAATATCTAACTAGGACTCTATGGTAAATTATGACTTAAGGCCAGTGGAAACATTTCAAGAGAGATTATTACAGGTTAGCAATTTGTCGTGAGCTAATTTGTTTAGTTTTGGAATATCAGCAAACTTTGGCTCCAGCGCAAAATGCCTATAGTAACAAATAATTGTATGTTACAAAAACTACTAACTAAGAGAGAAGAGGAATGAACCGTTTAATATTTCATTCAAATGGAATAAGCTATTGTAGTCATGCTGCAGTATTCCGAATTCCCTTAATTTCAAGCTTATTGGATAGCTCATCGCTTTGTTCAATTTTTGTTGAATGAAAAACTATATATTATCAACAGAGACATGACATGAACAACTAAAAGAATAAATAATTCTTATGATTGGATGCGGCTCTTAGTCAAAATAGATAAACTGAAAATACCTCATCAAAAAAGACTATACATGGAGCACATGCCCTAGCACGATTAAATAGGGCCCGCACGGCTGCTTCACTTTCACCAACATATTTGTTCATAAGCTCAGCAGCCTTGATTCAGGACAACAACAATGTAAAGAAACAAATGAAATTATAAACTTTGAGATTTATGGAATTAAAGCAAATTAAATCCAACCTTGATGTATATAAAATTAGCTCCTGCTTCATTGGCAACAGCTTTGGCAATCAATGTCTTACCACAACCTGGAGGACCATATAACAAAATTCCAGAATCCAAGTCCACTCCAAGTTCCTGCAAAGATGAAAACATACAGAAGGCCTAATTCAGAGCTTCTCAAGATTGATAATCAATTTGTCAGTAAACATTGAGCTGCACATTTACGGGTAGATCAGTTGAGGACAATCTGGCGCTTGGTTATAGATTTATGGAGGAAAAGTAAATAAAAAAATTAAAAATAAATAAATAAAAACTATTTAGGTGATTGATTTGATTAGCTCTTAGGTATAAGAAGTTTGATTGAAATAGATTAAAGATAGCAAGTTTTGCAAGAGAAAGATGGAGAAACTCTAGTTTAACTTTCTTTACTTCACAAAACCCTTCAACCTTTTTCTCCATCCACACTCTCATTAATATGTTTTAATAATCTTTCAAATTTAGAATATTTATTAAAGTCCATTTCTTCTTATTCCACATACTCTTTTCCATGTTAAAAATCCCTCAATCAAATCACATGGTAAGGCAGAGGTTAGGGGTGCTGAATAAGGGTTAATCGTTCTGATTAACCCTAACCAACACATGGTAATAGTATAAAAAGCACATGTATAATTAATCTCAGTACAAAATTGTTCGTTAGCATAACACAAATACTGACATCACATGGAAATAGTTCACAAACCATTATGACACATTTTCATTTCAACACATGCCACATGCTTACATAGCACAGATACATTGTATGAATTAATAGCACATGTTAATAGAGCACCCAGCACATGCTATTTTGATCCATCCGTGTGTTCTATTCACTATTAAATCATCCCACACATGGTACATTTGTCTTTCTTTCAATTTCCCTTTTTCACCCTAATAATTTAGTTTCCTCTGTAAAATCTTTCAAAACCCAGAGGCGTAGGGTAAATGAATCCAAGTGGGATAGGAACAAAAGGTTAATATGAGTGAATTGACAGGAGATGCAAATGCACAACAAATAAATATAAGAAGCTCAGAGCAAAAGTGAGAGCGAAGCGCAAATGATAAGACAAGCTCATAACAAAGGTAACTAGAGAAACAAATTATTGACTAAAATTATAGTACAATGTCACATATAAAAAATTAATCAAGAAAATATACAACTCAAAGAGGAGTCATCCCAAGAGCAACATGTTAGATAAATGCAGGAATAAAGAAAACTACCTTGCTAATTTCGGGAAGCTTGATACACTTAACAATATAACGTTCGAATTCGTGTCTGAGGAAATGTAGGCCTCCAACATCTTCCCACTTCACATTTGGTACAGTAGAAAATCCTTCTCTTTTTAAGGAGGGTTGTACCATTTTAGCAGCTTCCTGCAATAAGTCAAATTTAATGTTAGAAATTTGAGCTGCATACAACAAAGATAGTCAAATGATAGATAAACAATGTTAAAACGGATGCAGTGTAGCTCGTGTCCAGTATCAATGCATATTTCTAGCTAAACATATACTCACACATATCTCAATAATATCAAATTTTCAACCTTCAATTTTTAAAACATGATGAATTATAGAAACATATAGAGTACCCAAAAAACATTACATCCAACCTTTGTTCACCTAAAATAGTAACAAGATTAAAAAAAAAATGGTTAAAAAGAAAAAGCAAATAAAACCTAATGCACATAAGTGTTTACGCCTGCGACAAAAGCTATCTCACACACCAATAATATCCAAAAAATCCAATGCAACAATTTGGAAGAACCAAATTTATTATCATCCTTTGCCTCCTAACCTTAACCTTCCACATATTTTGCTCATTGACTTAAGATTCTAACTATTTATTCAAAAATAATTATAATAAACAAGAAGCATTCGCCAAAACTCATATTAATTGCGTATTCTGTCTCATATTCAGAGATCATAATTTCCCATTCACTTGTTGGATATCCCAAATAATGCTATTATTGTCTATTCTTAAAAATAAAAAACAAAAATAAGAACCAAGTTTCATTTCTTAAAATTTAACATGTCTTGTGATTATGGTGTGTTCTTTTCGTTTAAAAAATAAAAAAAATCAACACATTTTTCAAAAAAAATTAAAATATTACACACATTCATTATTTTTATATTCTCTACACAATTCCCTATGCCTTGTAAAAAAAAATAACACTTCAAACTATTTCACAAAACAAACACACCATAAATATTTCTACAATATTTAAAATATATTTATTCCATATGTGATGAACATATGTCATGCCCAAAAATTGTCTAGGCCATAATAGATATATAATGAAAAATCTCCTTTTAGCACAGCAAGAAAGCTTGCAGGAGATACACTTCCATACACTTCTAAAGCAATTATGCAAAAGACAATGATATATTACTAAAGACTAATGATCAAAGGGCCTCGGAGAATTAAAGGTTTATATTAAGGATCATATTAAATTTTATAATATGTTCACAAAAATAAATAAATAAACCATTACACTAATTGATATTTCTAGTGATACGAGTATATAATCGAACATCAACATATTAGACTATTTATTAAAGTTAATATTATGCCTAAATTGGAGTTACCTCAAAATCAGCCATAGTTATGGTAAGTCCTTCCATTTCTTCTCTTGACCATGGTTGCTTCCACCATTTCTTGTCTATTGTCATGTCAGAAAGATCAACCATTCTCTTTTTTATAATTTTATTCATTGCAAGGCTACCAGCACGGTTGGCAAGTTCTGCCAAGTCAGCTCCAACAAACCCGGAAGTGGCTCTTGCTATCTTTAAAAAGTCAAAGGCTCCTTCAAGCCTCATATTGCGTGTGAGTACCGATAGTATTTCAACTCTTGCACATTCATCTGGAATGCCTAAAGCAATTTCATGGTCAAATCTTCCAGGCCTCCTTAAACCAGGGTCAATGGCGTCTGGTCTATTAGTTGCTCCAATTACTAGAACATGGCCGCTTCCACAATCAAAACCTTCGGAAGTTGCATTGTCCTCAACGGGTTTATGGGGCCTATTTGATCTGTCCATAGATTTCAATAGTTGTGCTACAATACGTTTCTCCATTTCTCTCTGCGAATTGTCCCTTTTTGAAGCAATTGCATCAATCTCATCAATAAACACAATTGATGGAGTTGTCTTGTATGCTTTTGCAAACAACTCTCGTATGTTTTTTTCAGATGCACCTGAAAAGATTGACAAAATAAACAGTTCATAGATGTAATACATCTACCAGAAAATACAAGCTTCCAAAGTTTGTATTAATTAATTCTCCAACTTCATGACGTATCAATATAAACATCATAATGTTAATGAGTTAAGTAAGTTGTCGAACACCTTCTGTACCGGGCAAATTATATTGAAATGGCCCAATTCAAAATTCTTTCTTACGAACATCAGAAATCAAGCTTGGATCTTAATAAATATTAAGGTTTAATTTAGATAACTCAATCCTACAAAAAGTAACAATAACGAATAAAAATCTACTGCTCAATAAACATCCAAATAGTCAATGCTAGTCAATGCAGCGGGTTAGCAGAACTACTTATAATTATCCTTAAACAAGTACAAATTTAGATGAACTACCTGAGACTCCAGATACCAATTCAGTGGCAGAAATTTCATAAAATGGAGCTTCAAGTTCATTGGCAATAGCCCGAGCTAGCATCGTTTTCCCACAACCTGGTGGCCCGTGCAACAAAACTCCGGCCACAGGCTTTACTCCAAGATGAAGGGGAAGTTGCGGATGGCACAGCGGCACAAGAACACTCTCAATCAATTGATCAATCACATCTTTCATTCCTCCAAAATCCTGAAACATTGGACCCTTATTCTCACCTCCACCACTGTTGCCATGGCCAGTTTTGATAGCCTTACTCAAATGACTGTCCAAATGGCCTTCTTCTGTCACCATTTCTACCTTTTTTGCATCGTCGTTGTACACCACATCTAATTCTACAGCCTCCTTTACCTTCGAATTTTTCTTCAAATTTTCCCGGAGCATTGACTTCATCAAATCAAACTCTGGCTCAAATTTCTCCCCATATATTGCATCCTCTGAATTTGATCCCTCTCCGTCGGAGGAATCGCCTCCTGACGAACTAGTAGATGCCACCGTGGATGAGGCGGCGGCGGCGCTGCTGTTGTGAACATCGCCGCCGTCCCTCTTCCGCTTGTGTTGAGCCTCATCAAGCTGAACTACTTGATGGACTCGTCTGGTGAAGGGTTGGAGTTTGTGGCGGGAGTAGTGTGGGTATGTGATACGGAGGTATTCCACTAACCGTTCGACTGTCGAATGATTCTCTTTTGGAGCTGACTTGATGTGACGGCGGAGAATGCGATCGAAATTCGATCGTGTGTTTTCGCCGCCGCCGCCACCAGCTCCGCCCCCTATGCGTCGTCCTCTTCCCATGGCCACCAATCGCATGAACGAATTTTTCTAGTTAGGGTTTGGTATAGCCTAACGAAATCTTAAAATCAAAATATGAAATTGAGCTTTTAGATTTATTGATTAATTGGGCTTTAGAAAAATATATTAATTGGACTTTAAAAAGAATGCTTTTGGGTTTGTTCCTATTGAGTCTCTGTATTATTATTTTTTGAATTAAATATACTCCTCAATGTGTTTAGAGATTAATTTGTTTGGAATTTAAAAAATTTATAAATTTGTTTGAATTTATAAAATTTAAAGACTTTATGCTGAGTTTGATCGTTCTTTAAAAATTTATATGGATTTCGTACCATTGTAAAATAATTTATTTAAAATTACCTATAATTATATAAATTTATATCAAACACAATTTTTATAAATATAATATATTTATAATTAAAGTTATTATATATTATTATCTTTTATAAAATTGAATTAGTATAATAAATAATATATAATTATTAATATTGTTGAAGTATGATAACATATATAATATTACTATTTTATATATTAATATTTTTAAATTTATAATTTTTAGTATTATATTATCATTTAATATATTAAATTATTTTTATATTTTTATTAATTATTATTATTGTTTAAATAATTTTTTATATAATAATAAATACGTGTATATAAATAAAATAAAAAATATAATTTATATTTTTAAAAATTATATTATAATAAAAAGTAAATAAATATAAATTAATGGTTGAACAAAAAATGTATATAAGTATGTATTAACTTTCACCGAAATGACAATACGACACCGGAATAACAATATATTGCACTTGATAATTAAAAAGAAAATATAATAATAATATATATTTATTATGATAATAATAATCTTTAATACTACATCGGTCTCGTAAAGAGTAACGTTTGTTTTTTGCACATAGATTTTTTAATATTAGTATTATATTGGATTGCAGTAAAAAAGACGAATGGTAATATTTGTGTAATATATTGTAAGTTAGAATGGTATTTATTATGTTAGGTAGGTACTACAATTACTAAATTAGAAAATAATATCTTTGTTTTGGGACAAACGAAAATGGATAATGGAACTCTTTTTATAGAGTTTTCTAACAAGGTATGTATTTGTTGAGGATTATGGATCATATGCTGAGATTATATTTCAATTCAGTTGCTGAATATAATCTCAGCCACTAATTTTGCATCTATAATCATAATTATACAAAAGTAAGTAAGATTAACGGTTATGATTATTACCAGCACTGCTGATTCTTATGGATTTAGAATGTGATCTATGTTGTTTTTTTAGGGTGTGTTTGTTTGGGGGTTTGGATTTTGGATTGGATTTGAATAGTAAAAAAATTGAATTTGAATAGTTGTACGATGTGATATAAATATGTATTGATGTGATGTTTTCAATGTAAAATTGATTTTTAGTATAATATAAAAAATGAAAAATTAGGTGTTTGATTTGATATTTTTTAGGGGAAAAATTTATATGAATAGTAAAAATTCACAAAAATCCTTCGAACAAACACACCCTTACCGGGATCTTCCATCTACCCAATGAATGCCTCAAGGCAGTCCATTCTGCTTCATATATTCATTCTGAATCCATTTATGGTTTGTAAATATAAAGGTAATAATATTATGAACTATTATGATATATTTATGATATAATATATTTTTTCCATTTCATAATAAACTATCCATTTTTTCATTTTAGTCCGTCTCATAACAAAGTATCCATTTTTTTTAGTAACTGTACCGTCTACCTACCATTACAAATACCCTTACAACTTACCATATATTACACAAATGTCATTACCTTTATATCACATATACTAATAAGGTTATTTTAGTCATTTCTACTTTATTCCTACTATATCCTAATATAATACTAATATTTATAAAACTACGTGCAAAAAACAAATGGATATTTAATTTCGGGACGGAGGGAGTATATATATTATATTATAACTCTTACAATATATATTATGTTATAACTATGATATTTTATAATATAATATATATATATTTATATCGTATGTCCTATGTACTTTTATATAATAATAATAATAATAAAGTTGAAAAATAATAATGGTGTAGGGATAAATTAACAAATCTTAAAGTCCGTTGTTTTTATATATCTATCTTTTTCAATACTTACTATTTTTTAATAAAAAATATATAAAAAAAAGGTTATCTAATAAAATATCACATTATTTTCAAAACAAAGTTCAAATGAACAAGTTCTTGATATCATTTTTATTTTTGCCTTTTGAATTATCGATTATGATGAATGATCACACAAATATTTATTTGTGTGAATAATTTATGCTATCTATTTATTATTTTAAATTTATTTTCATCCTATTTATTAGAAATATATATCTAAAACTATTATTCAAAATTTTTCTTTCTTTTTTTTTTAAATAATCGTTTAGTCGAATAAAATTGTGTTTATTTGGCCTCGTATCATTGGAGAATGATTTTGGTAAATTATTTTTACATAAAGATTGTGTTTAATTGATTCGTTTGTTTAGTCCTATATCTTTAATTTTTATTTTTAAACAAAAATTAATTTATTATATTTTATCATTAATAAAAAAATATGAATGATGTTCACCATTTGTATATTAATTGTATAGAGTTTATTAGCATGCTTTAACAAAAACAAGTGTTGGTATAAATTACATCAAATAATATTACCTAAAAAAGAATTTAATCTAATTTAACCTTTAATTTAAACATCTTTCACTCCGTTCGAATTTGATATCAATTGATTCTTGTTACAATATATAATAAAATTAGTTTAGATTATGATACAAAATAAATATTATTACGAACTTAAATTTTTTAGGCAATACTTATGTAATTTTTTTGAAAATAAAATATTATAAAAATATCCCAAGAAAATAATGTTAATTATTATTTTTTTTTCTAAATAGCCGTGTTTCGTTCTTCAGTATGCTAACTAGAATAATTTTAAAATATTGCAATATATATATATGAATTTTGCAAGTGCAATGATTCAAGAACTGTTTCAATATTTGATACGTGGCAATGATTACGGTGTTGATTTTAAAAAATCAATGTACATCCATAATATATATAAACAACACACGTTCTTATTACACAAATCACATATTGTGTGTAATAAAGGCGTGTGTTGTTTGTTTATAATTTACAAGTATATTGTATAAGAGTATATCGTTTCTTGGAATTAATTGTTGTGTGTTGTATGAGACTATAACATACGATATTAGTTCATATGGTGTATTTATATTATATTAACACATATAATATATTGTAGATAGTAATACTCCGTGTTGTCTGTTAACGCATAGTGTGTTGTTAGCACGGTAGTAAATTTTAATTGCCGCATTGGTATATTGAATTGTTAATATAAAAATATTATTCCCTCCGTTCCAATACAATAGTCTTGTTTATTATTTTTGTCCGTCCCAAAACAATAGTTTCATTTCTATAAATAATTATATCATTATAAAACTACCATTACTTTTTTATTATTATTACATAATTGCAACTACTTTTTACACTAATACACTCACAAGGACAAAAAAGTCTTTTACCTGTACTTTTTTATGGCAATATTTCTTAAATCTCGTGCCAAACACAATCCAAATTATAGTTTTAGGACGAAGAAAGTATATGTTTTTATGGAAAATGATCTTTGACGAATTGGCATATGATTTAATATAAACTCATCAAAAAAAATTTGGAAACAATGTAGATGTTAAGATGTCGATGAAGCCCAAGGCAACAACAACCAAATCTATTCAATTTTCAACTATGTGCGAACTAACAATAAGATCTGTACGCATCGTTAGCATTTGAAAAATATGTATTCGTTCAGGAAAATGATTACGGTGCTGATTCACGTATTGTGTGTAATAAATATATCCGTTGTTTGTTCATAATTATATGTGTGTGAAGTGATGAAATCAATTATTGTGTGTTGCATATAACTATAACATGTGTTGTTAATTTTAGTGGTGACAAAAATAGGTACTACCTAAAAATTCGATCCGAATTCGGCACAAAAAATTGTGCTTGGGCCTAAAAAAATAAGTTCGAATTTTTTCGGACCATGCTTGGCCTAACCCGATTTTTTAAAATTAATATTTAATATATTTATATATATAATAACTAATAAAATAATAACAAAAATATAGATATACTTTTATGGCAAAGTGCTTAAGTTAATTATATTAGGTAGTGAGTTCAAATACTGCCTTATACTCCCTCCGTCCACTTAGAGCAACCGCAATGGCTGCGTTTGAGAGGCCATTTTCTCTGACACATAAGCTTTTTAGTCAGATTTCTAAAATTTAAAAACACAATGACCTGAAATTTCAAGCCGAAAAGTCGATTAACATGGAAGAAGGCTTGGTGCAGGCGAAGCCATGTTCAAGTGATTTCTCTCTCTTTATCTCTCTATCACATCGAGTTCTTCAACCACACAAGAAGGACAAACAATTTCTCTCTCATTTTAAACTTGATTTTTGTACTTCATTTGTTAAATTTTGTATTTGTGTGTTCGATTCTTCTCAAAATAGTTCTCTTGCTGGATTTTCAAAAAGTTTGACACTGCCAGCACAGTAGAAGGCGTCAGCTCCACCGGTGGTGGTTTCGGCAGCTCCGGTGAGCTCAAACGGCCGATCAGATCAGAACTTTTGATGTTTTGGTTAACGACGCTTTGAAGGAGATGAAGAAGTCTTTGTCGCCGCCATCATATGCTAGACGGAATCATAGCCATCCGTTGGCGGTGGTGTGAAAGATCTCTGCCGCAATAAGCAAGAAAATGAAATAAATTTTACTAAGTGATGTGAGAGTTACAGTGTATTTTTTATGTCATCCTGCTTCTATTTAAAATGTCAGTTTGGACACATCACATTTAGAAGCATTTTTTTTTGCTTTGGCCATTGCAATTGCTCTTACAATGTTTACATATTTTTATTTTGGGACGTCCAATTACAAAGTTAACATTTCATTAAATACCGGGCAAAAATGTCATTATATTACTTTTAACTATTCACTATAATTAAAATACTATTATTTCTTAAACACCGTGCCAAAAGTAAATATAAACTTCGTAAGTGGACGGAGGGAATATAATATTTAGTTCTGTATTTAGTTATGAGACAGAGGGAGTATTAGCATTAAAAACTTAAATTTTTTAAGACAATAGTTGTGCAATTTTTTAAAATAAAATATATTATAAAAACATTTTTAAAAAATAATATTGATTATTATTATTATTATTAGTTACGCCATTCTTCATTAGCTAGAATAAATTTAAAATATCATGATATTTTATGGATTTTGCAAGTAGCAATGATTGAGGGACTATTTCAATATTCCCAAACTATTTCAATATTTGGTATGTTGAATTGCTTAATATAAAAATGTTTTGTATTTACATGGAAAATGATGTTCAATAAATTGATATATAACGTAATATGAATTTTCTTTAATATTATTTTTGGGTAAAAAAAAAAAAAAAGAATTACCACGGTATGGAATTCTTTGAGTATTATATTTGTTCACAATGTATTAGAATTCACCAAAATGTTTATGTTTTTTTTTTCTTTTAACTTTTTTTAAAAAATAATTTAATTGACAATGAAAATATTTGTTTACTATTTTGATTTGAATTTTTTTTTTATGTAAATTATAGGAATCGTGTCTTTAATATAAAAAATAGTATTTATTCCGTTGTGTCTTTTTTATTCTCACAAGAATTTAGAAGGAGCATATTTAGTAAATAATTAAGAATATATTATTAAAAATAATTATCTTATAGTAAAAATAATTTTAGTTTAACATTAAGATAATTCATTTATTTAATTAAAAGTAAAATTATTAAAAATTAAAAAATTTAAAATGATATTAAAATATATAATTTTTTTTATAAAAAAAGGAAGCGACAGAATAGTAGGACAAACGAAAATAAAAACATGGATATAGAATGTAGAAAGTAATATTTTACATTTAATATTAACTCTAGTGAAATAATAAAATATAAAGTTAAAATTATTTTTGGTCCCATTCAATATCATAATTATCAATTTTGGTCCAATTCAAAAAAATTATCAATTTTGGTTCTAGTCAAGTTAAAATTTATCAATATTAGTCCAAAATGGTTGACTGAGACAGAACTTGGCCGTGTTGACTTGATCGCCCAGTCACCTTTGAGTCATCCAACGTGGCCGTGTCCAAGCAAACACCGTCATGTTCAGTTCCATTCAATCATCTTGCGACTAAAATTGATAAATTTTCAATTGAGAAGAACCAAAATTGATAATTTTTTTTAACGAAATCAAAATTGATAATTATGATATTGAATGAGACCAAAAATTCTAAAGTATATATTAAAAATAGTGTAAAGAAAAATAAAAAAATCCTAAACAAACACAAACCATTGTGTAAATTATAATCCTTAAATTATGCACAATAAAGAACCAATTGATATTTTTACCATCATACACAATTTCTTATTCATCATCTAACTTTGATCCGAACCGGGTTTTTTTTTTTTTTTTTTTTTTTTTTTTTTTTTTTTTTTTTCTGAAAACGAACGTTACCGCTTGAGAATTGGGTTCGCTACCTTCATCCATTTCTTGTCTCACCGAGGGCAGGGCAGCACATCCGACTCACTGAGATCTGCCCAATTTTCTTCAGATCATCATCGTTTTTGTTCGAATTCCGTCCCATATGTAAGTTTCTCCCTTCTTTTTTCTGTTCTACACCTTTATTGCATCTGTCAAAGCTTTTCGCGGTTAGGATTCGAGATTCTGATTCTGGGCTTTGGGTGAAAACCCCGTTTCCCGAATTTTGTGTTTGTGTGCGTATGCTTGTTTGGTTGAGCGAATTGATCCCTTGTGATTGGCGCTTCGTGCGCTTGTATCAGATCCGCTTATGTTTGTTTGATTATTTGTCGATCATATGACTTACACTATGCAATACTGGACCTTGATTGTTTTGTTTAAATCGTTGATTTAATGCTCTAGGGTTTTTCTTTTGCAAGTTTGTTATGGATTGAATCAATTTCGCGATTCTTTTTCCTTTCAAAAGTTTTGGATTTGTTACCTGATCGTCGCAGTCTAGTTATTAACGTATTGCATTTTACGATTTGATTGAGATGAACTATGAAGGTTCATCTTTGAAGGTAATGAAATGAAAATATTCTGTATGTAAGTTGATATAAAGAGCAACGTAAACTGTATATATGAATTTTCAAATTAAAGTGTGCAGCTTCCTAATATTTAATGACCTAAGGTAGCCAAATCTTGAAGGGAATTAGCTTAATTTGTTGTCTTGCCTCAGTAATTCAATTTGTAAATCTATAGATGTTTTTCTAATATTTGGTTGATTTTTATTGTTTGATCTAAAAAAGTACTGCTCCCTCGGTCCAATTTGAAGGTATATATTTGCTTTTGGCGTTGAGTTTAAGATATAACATTATTTTAATTGTAGAAAGAAAGTAGGGTATTTTTTAAATGGTTACTTCATAATTGGACAATCCAAAATAGAAATATGTATACTTTGATAGTGGACGGAGGGAGTATAATTTTCACTATCTTAATTGTCACAAGTTCTTTCTGCAATTATGTTGTCTGTGGGGTGGTGGGCTGGAAATTGCATTGATATCTTTAATTATTTTAGTTTTTTTAATATAATGAAATGTTCTGGAAGTTTGAATTGTGTAACAAAGGTAAAAAGAATGCGAGTATTGTAATTATATTGGATAGCATGATTTATTTCTTCACCTGTTTTTTCAGTCTTTTTATATAGACACTAGGGATATACTTAAAATGATTTTATAATATTCACTTTATCTTATAGAGGATAAAACTGAGATTGAATCTTATTTTTGGTTGTTTCGTGCAGAGAAAATGGGGTTGTCCTTCACCAAGCTTTTTAGCAGATTGTTTGCCAAGAAGGAGATGCGAATTCTTATGGTAGGTCTTGATGCTGCCGGTAAGACCACCATATTATACAAACTCAAGCTGGGGGAAATAGTGACAACCATTCCTACCATTGGTATGCTTCTGAGCTATTTTTCATTTTCGTCAGGTGGACAGAATGTGTCCGGTTTAGAGCAGTTTATGTAGTTGCCTCTTTTTAATGCCTCATTAGTTTCATTTGCGTTAGTCCCTGTTCCTACAAACTCATATCCATATACGTGCATGTGTAGGCGGTGTGGAGTTATGTGAATCTTATCTTTGAATTTATAAAATTAATAGGTTAGTTTAACCCATAACTTGATGAAATATGGAAACCTTTTTCATCTCTCAGAAAATGATAGTTCTTTTTTTTTTTTTTTTTTTTTTTTCGATTTTGTGACAACGCATTTAGCATTGGAGTATCTGCACTTAATTATGCATTTGGGATGGAAGTTGCAAAGAACTTGGTTTATTGGTACAAAGATTCCTCAGATTATTGAACAAGGCTTCAATGTGTTTTGGCTTTCCTTCTTGGTTATGATGTATTAAATCATAGATAGTAGCTATGTGATTGTGATTTCAGTTTTCTGTCTAAGATCATTTCATAGACATTACACCACCCGTCTGCCTGAAATTCATTTTCTTTTCATCCAGGGTTCAATGTGGAGACAGTTGAATACAAAAATATTAGCTTCACCGTTTGGGATGTTGGTGGTCAAGATAAGGTATGGGTTGCTTTGAAAGTAGATGGAAGACTATGCATTAAAATTTTAAATACTGAACGATTGATCTTTGTAATAAAAAACAAATAAAAAGAAAAATTCTGCAACAACTAATTTCTCCAATGCTTCTTTGAGTCTTTAGTAAATGAAGCCTTATTGGTGTTTGAATGATGTTATTGGTGACACAGATAATCAAGGTTTAAATGTTAGAGATCTTCTGATAAATTAAGTAATAGATACAATTATGGTCCTGATTATTTACTTTTGGAATTAAGCGTTATTATGTCCTTGGAAAATAGTTTATATATACATATTATAATATGAATATGAAACTCAAGATACTTATGCATCTTATAGTTCAGAGATAAATATAGAAGAATTCTTACAAATGCATATAGGTTTTATTCTCATTCACAAAAAAGAAAGTACAGAACCACTACTGCATATAAATAACTCTATGCTATACCCTTGTTTTATTCAGAACAAAATGAGTTGTATAGATACAAAAATGGCCGTACATTTGAATTGATTGACTTAGATGTTTAAACCCTTACGGATGTAATTGGGAGAATTGGTTCATGCTTCTGAGTTTCTGCTAGGCTGTTACTCTAGTGTTCGAAAATATTTCTGTTTTTTTTTTTTTTTTTTTATTTTGCTTATCTGTTAACAAATCAGGCTTTGTGTTATCAACTGCACATCCCTTATGGCATTGACAACCTTTGCTAAATCTCATCCTTTATACCTGACTACATAGCATATAATTGTTCTCTCGTTACAGAAAGTACTTCTATACGATTGGTTTCTCGAAATATTTACCCATGCACAATACTTGATACCTCTATTTGATCTGAACACTTTCCACCAATTTGATACTTTAAGATTTTATGAACAACTTGTGGAGTCAGACTGAAATCATTTTTAAGAATCTATGTATAGGAACCGCATTAATATTTTGATTCTTTCATTCAGCCTGTTCGTGGTGTTTGTTTCCTTGGTTGGTTGAGATGATATTAGAGGTTGTTGCATTTATATTATGTTGTGTTTGAGGTCTAGGCTTCTGTCTTTTATGTCTATAAGCTGTCTGATGCTGTTGGAATCGTTTTTTAGATCCGTCCATTGTGGAGGCACTACTTCCAGAACACTCAAGGGCTGATTTTTGTGGTTGATAGTAATGATCGAGATCGTGTTGTGGAGGCTAGGGATGAACTTCATCGGATGTTAAATGAGGTAATTGACCTAAACTGCTTTTTGTCCCATAATTAGGGGTTGACTCTAATTAGATTCTCAGCTCAAGGGCCAAGTGATCCTGGGGTAAGGCCACGCACAACTCATTCTTCTAATCATATTTTTAATTGATGTAGAAATAAAGGTATTTATTAAATGATCTGAATACAATCTAATGCTGGTTCTGGAAATTTTTTACTTGATCAAGTTATTGAAAACATAATTGGTTTTTTTGTGCATATCTTGTTAAGGGTTTTAGAGTAGTGTGAAATGTTCTGGGTATGTTTTAGATAGTAAAAGATTTAATTGAAGAAACTCCGTGACCTTAAATTAGTTTTCAGATTGAACTTGTGAACCCAAATGAACTTAAAAAAAACTCCCTTCGATATCATATATCTCTTGAATCATTGAAAAAGATTTCAGGGTATATCCAAACAACATCTTGCACGTCGTTTCGATATCAAAGCCTGTAATTCTACTAATAATCTCCCTTCCCTATAGGATGAACTGAGAGATGCTGTGCTTCTAGTTTTCGCAAATAAACAAGATCTTCCAAATGCTATGAATGCTGCCGAGATTACTGACAAGCTTGGACTTCACTCTCTTCGTCAACGCCACTGGTACGTTCTTGTGTAAATAAGTTTTGTTTGGGGATGTAGATGTGCACTTCAATGGAGTGGCGAATTAGAACTTTTGGGATACGATGAAAGCAATATATCTCAAATATTGAACACCTACTGTTTCCGGCTTTTCTTGCAGGTATATCCAGAGCACTTGTGCCACCACTGGTGAGGGCCTGTACGAGGGCCTCGACTGGCTCTCCAACAATATTGCTAACAAGGTAACAAGCCACCTTTTTGCCTTCACTGAATCATTATCATATTTGCCTGAGTACCTGCAAATAGAGTTGCTGTTCTTGATTTTTTTTTTTTTGGGACACCAGGCTTAAGAAGAGAAACCAGTATAACTTTGGTATCTCGGTCCTTGAATTGAAGATCTACATTTCAGTTTGGGACATTAGTTGAGAGACACCCTTCCTCTTACTCTCTGATTACTTGTTTGTGTCATAAATAATTACCTCTGGTTGTTAGGCGCATTGAGGATTTGGTCAGTTTGTTATGATGGATGTTATTAATTCACTCCTCCTCCAGGGCAACAAAACAATTGACACAATTTACAAAATAATTACATCTGTTTATTTGTTATATTTTTGGTATTTTCAAATGGTCGCAATGAATAGAAGAAATACTTGTTTGTTTTATGCTTGGTCGCAATCTTTAGCGAGTCCATCGCACACGGCAAAACAAGGGATTCAAATAATTAGTTAAAACTTTATTGTAGCTTGTAGTGTATTATTTAGGTTGTCTTAACATGTTTTTATTTTTGTCATTTTAAAGTGAAATAATTATTAGATATGTAGTAAATGATTAGGTTTAAATTGACATATTTCCAACATGGGTATAAACTAATATCATTATATATGATATGATATCACACAAAGGTAGGACTGCAGTTATTGTGTTGAATTCAAATCATAATCATTATAATATATACATCACATGATAGGACTGAGTTGAATTCTTATCATAATTCATTATAGTAATAGATATCACATGATATGATGATAAACAATACATAATTTATATACTAACAATATATGACAGTACAATTTTCAGCATATAAAATCTGACAGACAACATATGTTCATCTGCCCGAGTCAGCAAGACAACCAACCAATCTCCAAATGTAGATAAACAGAAGAGTTGATGTTAATAATGCACCGAGATATATAATTGCTTATGTGCTGCAAATTAGAACTAAGAAAACAGAAGAAACAAGTCGATAGAGAGACAACAGGATATTCTTACACACATACATAATAAGCTCACAAATAGTAGAGAGTAGAGAGAGTAGTAAGTAGTAGTAGTAGAGGCCAATTCGACAGGAAATCAGTACAGCAGCAGTAGTAGTAGCAGCAGCAGCAGAAGCATTTCACTACATCAGATATTACAAAACACGGCAATAACAATAGACACCAAGATGCGACGAGAGAGGGCAGCAGCAGCAGCGAAAAAGAGACTGAAACTTTGATGCCTACTGTGCTGTGCTCCTCAGACAAATCATTGACTGAGGAAGGGGCACTGCTTCCTAGCATGCTCCGGGACCAACTTTGCCAGAGTTTCTGTCGGGACACCCTTCAACTCTGAAGAAAAAAAAAGGAATAAAAATTACAGAAGAAGTGCTCAAGGAAAGGCAAGGCTAAAGAATCCGCCTATTTGTGGAGAAGGCCTTACCGTGAGCCTTGAAGTTGAACAATGGAGGAAGGTAACGGCCATTTGGCAGACGAGCATTTGGATCGCGAAGCTCATCAAAGAAGGGGTGTGTAAGAGCATCCAACTGGACCATGAGATAAATATGGACATTGTATGAGTAACCAAAAAGCGTAATACAAACATCGAGCATAGCACAACAAGGATAGCCTCATCCCTCTACAGCTGAATTTTTTGAAATAAAGATTAAAGAAAAGATTTTAATTACTCACAGCCGAGCAGCGTAGGTTAGGAGAGTACTGTAGGAGCCTAGAAACAAGATCAACAGCTTCTGGAGGCATCCGCTTATGGAATATCTGGTAAATAAACAATAATTGTAAGCCCAAAGGGCGAGCAACAGTAACCGTGAAGTCGACTAAAGCTATGACCAGGTACCTTGTGCCAGGGATGAGCTTTGATCTGAGGAAACTTGAACTCGGTGTAATTAGGGTTCATACATTTAATTTCCTCCCGGGTTGGAGTGCCCAAAACCTGACATAAGCAAGTTTTCTTATACAAACATAAAGAAAGCACCGAGAGCACACAATGGCAGATAACCAAATGGCCGAATTTTTTCGCAACACCACTCTTACAGCAGAAGTAGGCAAGATAGTAAAAAAAAAAAGTAGACAAGATAGTGCACAAAAATGTTACAAATAAGTTTGAATCAATAGGTTTTATATTAATATTTTTAAACATTAAGTGCTTTATATCTTATAAGCAAGTTTCCTAATGATTACTTCAAAGGTTTCATTTAGGCAAATGTAATAACTTCTTACATATTTTTCATCTATTTCTTTATCAAATTTTACCAAATTACTACCATTCACCAAATTTTTAACCCTAAAAACATCAAATCAAATATTTATTTTTTATTTTTTATATCATTCTAAAAATTAATTGTACATTCAAAACATCACATCAACACCTACTTAAAAGACATCATACTATTGTTCAAATTCAAAATTTTACTATTCAAATCCCAAATTCAAAATCCAAACCCCCAAACAACCACACCCTTGACTTATGAACCCTTGGTGTCATGCAAAATCTATCGTATGTTAAAAGAGGAAGCTCCAAAATAAACCGAAAACTCATAAAAATTTGTCAACAGGTGTCGTGTTGATAATATGTAGAGAGAGAGAGTGGGGGGGAGAGAGAGAAGAGGACCTTGATGATCTCAACAAGCTGGTCTACTCCACTCTCACCGGGAAACAGAGGCTGCAAAGCGATGACGGGAGGCCAAGAATAAATATATAAGCAATATAAAGACTGTATACCTGTCTGTGCAAGGTGTAATATTCGGAGAATGGCAAAAACGCCTAACAACGATAACATTAACTACCTGTCCAAGAAGTAACTCAGCAAACACACATCCAGCAGACCAAATGTCGATGCTAGTAGTATATTCTGTGGCTCCGAAAATCAGCTCAGGAGCTCTGTAATACCTGGAGCAGATATAAGATATATTGGGCTCCCCTTTGACCTGCCAGGGAAACAGAATATAATTATCAAATACTTAAATTGTTTAAATGCAGCTTCCATTGTCAGAAAAGGTAATGCATACCAAAACTTTGGCACTTCCGAAATCACATAATTTAACTTGGTGAGTGTGAGGATTCACCTGCATAACACCATGGAAATATTAGGCCGGAAGAGGAAGGACATCGATCTAAATAGAACAGCTCACTCATAAAACTATCTTTTCAAACACATGAAGCTTAATATCGACAAATCTAAGCATTTATATTTTCAGATCGGAGTAAGTGAATGCTCAATGTTGCTGTAAGTAGTTCGATTATATCTTGTTCCTAATACTCATAAATAGCTTTAACATAGTCTTATTGATCATTACAGACTAATGGCATCGAACATATAGTAATGAAACTCATCTACCACAGAAAACTAATTCTCTAACTAATACCACGAGAGAAATATTTTACACAATGTATTGATGATATAAGGGAATCTTGCAGTTAACATAGGCGTTCTGTAGATGCAAAATGCTGAATAATGTCTTAACTAGATAACTGGAATAAAGAATATGAAGAAAGTAATTCGCCTTGAGATGGAATACATCTGAGTGCAATATCAACTGGTGCAAGAAAATTTACAAGCCAAGAATGATATGTCGACAAAACTTCTTCAAGTACCTTACAAGTTCCAAATTTTTGGAAAAAAACATACCAACAAATTTTGTGGCTTTATGTCCCTGTGACATACTCCAATAGCTCGATGGATATAGGACAATGCTCTGAAGATCTGCCAAACAGCGACATATTTAGATATATAATCACAAGACACCAGTCTACAGGGCTAGTCTTGAAATTATAACTTGAAAATCCACGCAGTCCGGTAATACCGGATACTGTAAGCATCACTCAATGTGGTTTCAAAATTAAATTCCAACTCAGCAAACAATATCTCAAGATCATAGCCCAATGTTACAGTGTGTCAAGACTTAAGATTGCACGTAGAAAACTGAAAACAAACCTGATAGGCATACAGCTTCACATATATCAGTGGCATCCTCTGGTTCAGCTTATTATAATGTTTGATAACGCGATGAACAGTTTCAGGTACATATTCAAGAACCAAATTGAGATAAAGCTCTTCTTTTTCAGTAGTTGAGAAGAAGCAATGCTTCAAGGAGACAACATTTGGATGGTCAAGAAGACGCATGGTTTGCAACTCCCGATTTTTGTACCTCTTGTCCTGGAGAACCTTTTTAATAGCAACTGTTTCACCATTCTCTAAGCATTTTGCCTAACCAGGAAAGGTTGATAAATAATTACATTTCAAATTTACTTCCTAAAATCATAATCATTCAGAAGTGACGAGCACTTGAAAAGGCTTACTTGGAACACAACTCCAAATGATCCATGTCCAACAACACGTTCAGCCATGTAGCTAATAGTCTGAAAATATACTTCAAAGTGATTAAATAAAGGATATCTATGAATCAAATCAGGATACTAGGTTAGAATGTGAAAATATCATCGGATTGGGACCATCCCAGCAACTTTAGGGCAATAATTTGTCTAATAGCGTGTAAAAGAACGAGCATTAACACATTTATAATACCCGAGTCAACCGACATTCATACCTATATTCTGTTTCTCAAATACCTTGAATTTATATAAACTGAACTTTTGTCCATAGTTCAGTAGCACAAACCATACAATCAAGTTTACTTATCCACTTTTGATAGCGCATGATTCTGAAAAATAAAATCAGGCTTAACCCTTTTTTTCTCTTATAATTCACTGATTACACTCTTAGATATTATAAGTACAACGAAACATGTTGGTATTAAAATGTGTGACCTGTCTTGTTTGGACCTGAAACATGTTTTTGCAAGCCTGCTATATTCATCATTGATATTATTCCATAAATAAATCAAAGATCAAATCCTAGTCTCGCCATATATCTGATATTTGATCATTCTTACTAAACGTTATATTTTGTGTAGATTTTTATTATTTAATATTTAATCACATTCAATCATGCATATAGAGTGAAGGATATCAGACCATTTTAGTGACAAAGAGCACTTAAATATGCATGTTACCTGCTTAGGATGGCCATTTCGACCGCCAATCGTTGTCACTATTATGTGCCCTGTCTCCGTACCATTTCCGTCCACAACTGTTGCTTCAATGTCCTACAGGATGTATGCAACCATATTAGGTTCAGTACACAGACCATTCACAATCAAGAAAAGAAAAATACTTGCGTACACAACAATTTACCCAAACATATAATCTTACAATACACATTACCGCATACCTTATCATCCCGAATTTTCATGTCGTTCATTTCCTCAGGCAAACTATCAACCCCTACAGCATTATTGCTGGACTCCCTTGGGCCAGAATTAGGTGCCACACTCACTGAAGCCATCTTAAAAATATCTAGCTGAATTCTATATCCTTAGAAAATCATTCACCTGCAGAAAAAGAAACAAAATGTGAATGTGTTTTCTCGTAGAAATGCACCAAGTACAGCCGTTCAGATAGGGCAAGTGTGTGCATTCCACAACAAATAACAATGTAGTACCACTTAATTGTTTATTATGAAAATCCCAAGAAAGCTTACTAAATCCACATAACAATTGAAAGAAAGGAGAGCATAGCATCACTTCTAACGCTATCAGCAATGGCTAACCACAGAGTGAAAATTTTAGTCAGATTTATTAAGCTGGAAAAAGGCCTGCCACGCCACATGGTAGGCACTTCATGTTCAAGAACATTAAATGAGAGAATTAAAAGGTGGGTGTTTGAGAAGGGAAATATAGACAAGCATATGTGCAATCCTAATTATAAAGATACTTCATTTGTATATTAAATAAGCTCCTGAAAAATTATTCGTTAGTAATGAAATGAGAAAGTTCCGATTGACAATATATTTTTTTAGACAATATATGGTTAGGTTCTCATATCATCAATTGCAGCTCTTTATGAATTCAATTTTGAAACATTGAAGAAAAAGGAGATTGAACCAATTTATTTGGAAATGGAAGCACGTAATCAATGTGTGTGTGTGTATATATATATATATATATATAAAGGTAATTAGGATAAGTATATGGCGCTATACAACATCATAAGATCAACGATTGAGACCATGCTTACAATTACTACATTTAAGCGACTTCACAAATCAATACAAAAAATGTAATCCCTTAGGATAAATTACAAATTCCAAATTAAACTACCACAGTTTATCTTTCCAAACCTCACAGACTCATTTACCTCACCACATTCTCATTATTTGAAAAGGTCTTACTATTCACTCGGTCCATTCACACAGTCTGACCCAGCATGTATTTTTAAGAACTACCGCTCCTCATCCCTCCTCAAGCAGATGCACACAACACAACAACAGCTCAACTTTTTTAACCACTACCATTTCCTCTGAAAATTTATTAATTACACTATCTAACTTTTAACTAGAGAGAGTTATGCTTTAGCGCGTTGTAGGTATGACTTAAATCTTGGCTCTTCATTACATCTTACAATATGCTAAAGGGCAAACTATGTGTATTGTGCAAACACCAACTGAATAGAGGTTTTAAATAACAAGCGAGCAAACGGCCCACGGTAACACTAAACATTCCACCATATAGGCCGCCTGCAAAAAGGGACAATTGAAGTTCGTTGTATATGCCCTTTGGAAGAAACACACAAAACAAAAATGATCACCAACATGGCCCACAAACTCTAGTTCACATGCCCACTTAAGCAATCTCACATATTACCAAATTTCTCCCCCTGATTTCAGGATACATAGAGATCCTTACATCTTGCAATGATCCTACCCATTGTTGGTGGCTAACTTTTGCATTCAAATTCAATATCTCGACAATAAATTAATAATATTGCTTAAGCATCCATAAACTCATTGCTTCAAATATGTGAATCGCTATGAAAACCAAAACTACATTTGTTAACTCAATAGTTTTTTGTTTTTGTTTTTTCGATTAAATATATTTAGGTAGACTCCAACAAGATATTCAGCTTTCATATTCCAAATCCAATATCGGACTTCACACTAAATAAAGTGTATTTTTGTGAATTACGAGAAGATCCTTAATTTATCACACGTGCGTACTTCGAATACCACCAAAATTTCCTATTGAGAAAAACCTGAGCTGCTAATGGAACAGTTCACACCTTCCCCACACAGATGCACCCGCCCACCAAAACTCTTCTAGAAATAAATCTATGCCGCACCGAAAAGCATTCATCAAGCACTAGATAGTTCTATAATAATTCATCTATTTGCTCCAACACCTCAAACTAACAAATCTCCCATTCCAAGGCTCTTGTAATTCAGATTCCCCCTTGTTTTAGCAGAAAAATTAGCCCTCCAAAGAGCCAAACTTCCATACTTAATTTTATCCTTCACAAGATTAATCGTACAAAAGAACTCAGCACAAAACAGCCATTTCAAGAGGCATTCTAACAACAAACATCATCAGCATATATTTACCACACAAAAACGATAATAAAACTATAAAAAGGAACCAAACAAAAAATCCGAAAACGGCAAAACAATCAAGGGACAAAATTGCTATAACCCTAATCTTTAACAGCTAGAGTAACAGGATAAAATCAATCCAAATCAGAACCGAAATCCCTAGGGCAAAGAAAGAAAAATCCTAAAAAGGGAAGAAAAAATCCCGTACAAATTCCAGCAAACAAATCAAACAAGGGAATCGACGGATCCAGGGCAGAAACCCCCACCCCGATCCACCCTCGACGCCAAGCAGACGAATAAAAAATGAAAAAACCACGAAATCCGCGAATCGCTTGAACGCAAGCTTTGAAAAGAAATATGGAAATTGGAATGGAAACGGAAATGTGAAGAAAGGGCAAAGAAAAGAAGAAAAAGAGGGAGGGAGCGGAGCAGTAGCTGACCGATGAAATCAGTGCAGGGCAGCGGCGATGGCGATGATCATCGGTGAGTGACTTGGACGCAGAAATTAGAGGGCTGAGCTAGAGGACACCACAACAAGAAAGAAAGAAAGGAAGAAAGAGGGAAGGAAAAGGACACCAAAATAAGAGAGAGAAAGAGGAGTGAGAAAGAGAGAGAGAGAGAAATGTGGTCTGCTTTTTTTGTGATGTCTGTACGTTTATTTCTTTTATGCTTTCTCTCTCTCTCAGATTATGTTATTATTATAGTAATAATATATTATTATTATTATTACACTGTAATAATATATTAATAATTATTATATATTCCTTTGAATGGTGCAATAATTGGACTGCGTGACAGTCAACCCTCTCAACTCTGAACTTTTATTTCTTTTTTTCTTTTAAGAAATTAATGAGTGTGTTTCTGTTTCATATTTTACTAATTTTTTTTTTATTTTTTTATTTTTTACAATCGGTAAAAACAAATACTCGTTGTGTTTTACATCATTTGTTTGTAGTTTTTATTTTTATCCGTTTTGTATAATTTGTTTATTTAAAATAATTATATATTTTAATTTTTTTTTTTTGGGTATATTTCAAATATACTGCAATATTTTCAAAATATGAAATAATTAATTATATTTAATCTCTATCATATACTTTATTTCCTCGTATCATTCGAATAAAAAAATTAAAATATATATTTTTTCTCCATCACATCACCTAATTTTTATATTCATTCAAAATTTCGTATTTATGTGCAAATTGATTTTGTTAATTATAAATAAAAATTTATATTTTTATTTATTTATATTATATAAAATTTTATTTTCTAATATTTATATTATATATTTTATTAAAATAATTAAATACATATTTTTATTTTTTTAATCTTATATGTATTACATAATAAATCAAATATTAATCAAACAAATCACTCTAACTCAACTTTCAACTCAATACTCCAATCTGTTAACCAAACACAAAAAAATGTGCATCCCAATATTTCATAATAATTTTTTCATTTTAATTTTATTTATTCATAATTTAACTCTTGAAATATTTCAACATATTTTTCAAAAAAAAATAATATACTACACATATTCATTATTTTTATATTATCTACATAATTTTTTATACCTATATAAAAAAAATTTCTTCAAACAAAAACACAAAACAAACACACACTAAAATTTAGTATAGTTATTTTTATTAGGTTGGTTTTTATTAATTTATTTCTTGATATACTTATAATTTTAAATAAATTTATTATAATATATTTATTTTTAATAAAAAAATGATGTGATATATATAGATTAATAATATTAATATTGTCTATTTCATATTTATTTTATAGAAAAATAAATATTTAAGAAAATATAGGTTTGTTATTTAGTGAAATGGAACAAATGATATTTTAATATAATTAATAAATAACATAGCAAAAATATATTAATATATGTGTGTAAATAAGATATTAATGTATAAAGTCAAAATAAGAATAAAAATAAAAATAAAAATAAAAATAGAATCTTCATGCTTATGTATACGGTGTTTTAGAAATTAGCTTTTAGAATAAATAAGCTTTTTAAAAAAATTAATTTACTAAATATTTAAATTGTTATTTGCAACTAAAAGGTATTTAATAAATTAGTTTTTTAAACATCATTATAATATTTCTTCTCAAAGTTAAGCCGATCAATCAACGGTGTAACTTAACCGATGCTTAGAGGTTAAACATTTGATCTTTATAGAATACGTGAGAATGTGTATGTATGGATAAAAAATGAAAAATAAAAAAATTAAGTAAATCAAATACGAACACAAATTTTAGTTCATTAGATTCACAAATTAATTTGAATTTGTTCACAATTGTTCAATAATATTAGCAAAAAATTAAAATAAATAATAATTTTATATTTAATAAATATATAGCATTATACTTAACCAGGACTTGAGGAACTATACATTAGGGCACATTTGATTAGTAGTCTATCCAAAACAATTTCAGGATCGTAAACATGCAGCTACTCGACCTCTAGGTTGTCGGATAAATAAGGCTCGATTGGGTGATCGCCCAACACTTGACAAAGTTGAGATATATGAAACACAAGATGGATACGGCTAATAGCCGGCAAATGCGGCTTATATACGACCTTTCCCACGCGGCGAATGACGCGGAATGGTCCATAAAATTTGGGCATGAGCTTGTGATGGATGGCGTTGGCTGCCAGGACCATGTGTTGTTGAGCACGCTCTAAGTGGTGTTTAAAACCTTCAAGAATACCAAATCACCAACTTGGAAAGTGAGCTCACGATGATGGCGTTGGCTGCCAGGACCATGTGTTGTTGAGCACGCTCTAAGTGGTGTTTAAACCGTCATAGTACTGTCACGCAATCGCCAAGTAACTCTGAAGCTGCAGCAACTCGACATTCATCTATACAGTGTGGGGAGCGGTCGGCTATAGACGGTCAAGAAGGGGGTGGTGGCAGCAGCAGTATGGAAGGAGGTGTTGTACCATAACTCAACCCACGAAAGGCAAGCTGCCCATTTTCAGGGCTATTCCGAGCAAAAATAACGAAGGTATGTCTCCAGTGTGCGGTTCAAGACTTCAGTTTGGCCATCAGTTTTCAAGTGGTATGCTGAGCCGAAAAGTAATTTTGTGCACTGCAAACGAAACATCTTTTGCCATAAACAACTCATAAAAACTTGGTCACGATCTGTACACGACATTCCATGTAGACGAACTATTTCATTGACAAAGATCTCGGCAATGAATGTGGCGATGTAATGGCGCCGTAGTGCAATAAAGTGCCCATATTTACTGAAATCGGTCAATGACTACCAAGACACAAGAGAATCCCAACGATTGAGGAAGACCGGTGATGAAATACATTGCTAAATATTCTCAAACTTTCTCTTGGATAGGGAGGGGTTGCAGAAGCCTCCAAGAGAAAGCCTTTTGGCAAGTGAGGCATTGTTCAACATATTCGCAAACTCGGCGATACATTCCTGCCCAATACACATAATTTGTCAATCATCGGTAGGTGTGGTGTACTCCCGCATGACCACCAAGTGGGGTGTCATGAAATTCCTCCAATAATTTTTCTATCCATGGGGATGTTGCCAACAACACCAGATGCCTCCGATACAATAGAATTCTTTGTCAATATTCATAATAGGAATGCGATATGTTTTATGAGACAAGATCTTAGATAATCATCTACAATGCCTGGTCATATTTTTGCTCGGCCACGAGCTCGTCTCCAGCTAGCCACTGAAATGAAGAAATCGCAAAAAAACTTGGTTGTTTCGGTGGGAACCAGCCTCTGTGCATGATCAATAGACATCAATGAAAGCTCATGCTGACAGGAGAGGGAATCAGCAGCAGGATTGATACGACCTGGTTTATAAACCACATCGAAGGAATACCTGAGAAGTTTGACTATCCAAGACTACTGAGCATAAATACCAATCCTCTGAGAGAGCAGATGACGCAAACTATGATAATCCATATGCACCATGAAATGACGGCCAATTAGATATGGACGCCAATGTTGGATGGAAAAATACTAACTCATTAATTCTTGTTCATACGCTGATATCCCCTGAGCTTGATCTCCCACTGCTTTACTAAGTAAGAGATACACCTATGTTCTTGCAAGAGAACCGCACATATGCCGGAGCCAGAGGCATCACACTATACAATGAACGATTTGTTAAAATCCAGCATTGCAAGCACATAAGCTGTAATAAAGGCCTGCTTTAATACTTTTTGCGATTTTCCACAAAATGATTCTCTTGCAGTAACTGAAGTGTTTTAGTTAAGTACTGCAAGTGCTTCTATAAACTTGGGCTATATGTTAGTATGTCGTCAAAGTATACCAAAATATATTTACGCAAATATAGTCGAAAGAGATTGTTCATTATTTCCTAGAAGATGGCAGGAGCATTGGTTAATCCGAAGGACATGATTAAGAATTTATAGTGCCCACTATGATTCTGAAAAGTAGTTTTATGCACATCCTCCGGTGCCACTCGGATTCAGTGATAGCCTGAACGAAGATCAATTTTAGAAAATATTGTTGCATCGGAAAGCTCATCTAACATTTTTTGAATCACTGGAATTGAGTATTTGTCGACAATGGTGGATTTACTGAGCTCCCGATAGTCAACACAAAACCTCCAACTCCTATATTTTTTTTTACAATAAAACGGGGCTTGAAAAAGAGCTAGTACTGGGACGGATGATTTCTGCAATAAGCATATCATGTACCAAAGTCAGTACCTGTAGGGGCGTACATATACCGGTGTTGCTCCGGGTTTCAATGGAATGTGGTGGTCGCTATGGCGAGTCGATGGCAATTCATTCGGTTATGGAAACTCCTCAAAAATCAGCACAACTTTCGGAAATAGTACAAGCTATTTCTCAGGACTGTCGTGGCAACTCTTGATGTCTGAATGTAAAAGTAAGGCATTGAATTCCACCTCCATAATATCGAACAAGTTCCGAATAGATTCTGGGCCTCGATACAGCCTTGGATCGCTGCACAAGGCACCTGCTGCCCCGTTAAGTAATACTGCATCTCCAAAGCTTCTCAATCCATTTGAATTTTTCTTAGTATCCAGAGCCATGCAACACCCAATATTATATCCACCCCACCAAGAGGAAATATGTGACAATCTTCCTACACTTCTACTCCATCGAATTGTATACGCAATTTCGAGCATGCTCTCGTACTTTCCAACACTACAAGAAAAAATTATTTTTGTAACAAAATTTTTTTCTCTAAATTTAATTTTTCTGTTACTAATGACATTAGAGACGGAATTAGGAATGAAATTACGTTAGCTACGTGAACATTAGGGACGGAATTCCGTTACAAATATATTATTTTTTTTGTAGTGCAAGGTAGGGTCCATCTCCTCAGTAAATTCACCCTCCCTTATCTCACTTAACTCCGCAACCCAGTTGCCTAAATCATCATTCACTATGACATTAAAATATTTACTTTCGCATTTGTGGAGTGGACTATAAGGTTGTTTGCACTTATAACAAAGACGTTTCTTTTGACACTCGCGATACTAATCGCGGCTTAATTTTCTTGTGCTTCCACGCGAGGAAAGGGTTGAAGTGACTGATCGCTACCACCCCCCTGCAATACTGCTGCTAGTCGAATGACGGTTTTCTACCTCTCTAACTATGTTTGAAGATATATTGCTTCCAACCCGCCTAACTAGGTTACTTCGTAATGTCAAAGTGGTTTTTTTTACAAGTAAAATTCTATTCTATTTTTCAACTCCCATTCAATGCTTCTACTGACACGGATTATGGGTTCGAGATCCGGGGGCTCCACTACCCTTAGTTTATTTCTGATAATTTGTTTCAAGCTCCCTAAATAACACCCTAAGGCTTGTGCTTCTTTCAATGATTGAGCCTAAGTAGCAAGTTCAGTGAATAAATTGATATATTCGTCAAAAGAACCTATTTGCCTTAACGTTACCATCCTCTTATACGGATTCCCAATTAATCGATTGTCAAACTTAGTAACCAATGCCTATGAGAATTCGATCCAGCAGGCAGAAGCATGCTTCATCATATGCCAACGGGACCAATGGAGCGTCACATCTTCCATCGTCACTCACACAAGAGTCACTTTTATCTCCTCGGAGACTCCGTGTAATACAAAGTGTTGTTCGGCCCTAGCAACCCATCCCAAGGGGTCGTGGCCATCAAAGCTAGGGAGTTGTGCATCCTTAAGCTTGAAATCGGTTTGAGGAGAAGTCCAAGTTCCTCCAACATCCTTAAACAAACATTTTGCCCCGTTGATGCCGGCAGCCCTTGTAGACAAATCCGCTACCTCTCCTCCTTCTGCCATATCTCCCTGAGCAGCTATCGAGCCCCTGATAGGTGTGGCAGGCGGCCCATGTAGAAACAACCCAACAATCGTATCCCGCGTGGCTGTTGAAAGTTTTGTCTTCAGAGTATCCACTTGTCTATCCACCTTCGATTCGAGGCGCGACAATCCTATTGTTGTGCTTCCACGCCTGTTCGAAGTTCCTTCAGGCTTCCTCCAAAGCTTCAATGCGCTGCATATTTATTAGCACCATTCCTCCTCCGCTGAGATCTGGCCGGTTGGATCAATTTGATATTACGAAAACTTAAGAGAACCAAATGACTAAATTTTATTGATAACTAGGGAAGATCTACTCTTCTCGAACCATACTGAAGCCGTGAAATTGAAGAAAATCATAATGACTAATAATTTTTCAAAATAATACTCCCTCCGTCTCAAAATAATAGGGACATTTGGGATGAGTACGAGAATTAAAGAATAATAGTACTATATTAATAGTGGGTGTAAAACTACTTTTAAAAGATCAAAATGCTCATACTTTATGTAATTATTGTGAAAATATGGGGTAATTTTGTAAAAAAAAAATGGAGAGTTAGTTACCAAAAATGAATATGAGACAATTGTTTTGAGATGAAAAAAGTACTTAAATACTAGGTCAAAACTATTATGGGTCTCAACCTGACTAACCTAACAATTTATTAAAAATAAATATAAAGAACCTAAAGTACTTGATAATAAAGGCTTCGAGTCATTGTCACAATTAACCCAAAACACACTTGCTTTTTCCTCCCACTGCGCAAAATTGATAATAAAGAACCTATAATTAGTTTTTTTAAGGTACGACCAAAATTAATTAAAGTTATTTATAATGAGATCAAAATTGATTGAAATTATTTATAATAAGACTAAAATTGATGAGATTTTTTTTTTTTTTTTTTTTATGTTTAGACAAAAATTGATAAATTTTAATTATATTAAGACCAAAATTAATTTTTTTCCCTAATTTTATTAATAAATACCAATAGTTACTAAAAAAATAATCTATTATTTTAAGAGTATTAATACAAAAGTGATTAGCATGTAAGTTTATTATAAAAATCAAATCATTAAAATTATATGTATAGCTTTTCAACATATGTAGGATTGTGTGGAGATTTTTTAAAATAAATAAAAATTTAAATTTAAATAAGTCTTTAATTTAATAAAATAATTTCTAATAAAATATTTAATATATGTTTTCTATCCAAAATAGTATACTTGCTCTAATATCAACACAATGGTCAAAAGTCAAAATCATATGTTTATTCGTAAAGTTTTGGTTTTGAATTTTGAAGATGTAAATATATATTAATATAATATGAATGTAAAATTAAATTTTAATATAATAAAATAAATATTTGATTTAATATTTAAAAATAAAATAAAATTAAAATAGTAAAATTAAAGATAAAACCACCCAAGTAAACAAAGCCATTTTATCTTAGTTTAAAATACAAAATTAAATTCTATTCTACTTTATTTCTTTTTTCACTAAAAATTTCTTTTTACTACAATATATTATATTCTATTTAAATCAAAATCTCAAACTAAACACACCCTCACATTCCGTTTACTTGTATATTATTTTTATTGCTTCTTTACTATACAATCTCATTATCATTATTAATGATAAAAAAAAAAAGTAATTTCTTTGCCAATTATTATTTATATACAATGTATATATTGTATAAACTATTAACTTAAACTACTATTCAAACACAAAATACCGACACAAAGCCAAAGGAAACAAAACCTGCCATAGTATTAATTTTTATTAATACAAATACTAACACACGAACTGAAAAAAATAAAAATAAAAAACATTACAGCTTATCATATATATATATATATATATGTATTCCATAGATAGATTCAGATTTACTTAAACAGCTTTGCATGACATAAAACAAATGGCTCAACATTAACACAAAAGAAGCATACTTTTGTGTACCACAAAGAAAAAATATTATATACCCAAACAACAGCCAAATTAAATACAAAATGAATGTGACATCTTGGGCCAAAACTCAGCTGTCATGTCTAAAGTATTATTATGAACATTAATGAAGTTGTTTGGTTGAATTATTAAACCATCAAAATCCAGGGCACTGCCAACATGCAACTCACCACATACTCATCCCAACAAATTCTTTCACTGGAAAGTAAGGAGATAGAGAGACATAGGAAGAAATGTTGTGGCCTAAAATCTCTTCAAAACTCACACATAACTTTTGTCTAAAGAAATTTCTTCGTTTGAATACATTAGGGGCTATATATTTAAAATTTTGTCGAATTATGAACTACAGGAGGGCAAAAAAGATATAACATCTATTGAACATAATAACTGTGATAAGGATAGATCACCGGATGATTAGCCTAGCCGCCACTCTGAGTTGAGAATTGAGGCACTCGACCAAGTGGGATGATCAAATCCTTCATTAGCTCATATTCTTCGGTACTGATATGTGCTCCCTCGAGTACCTAAGAGAGAAAATAGTAGCAGCAAGAATAATTTTGGACTTGCACCATATTGCAATAAAGAATTATTTCTTTCTTAAAGGAAGTTTACGTAGTTGTGCTATTGCGGCAACAATGGTAAAAGATTAGTTTGCAAGTTGTTCATACACTATATAGTACACACATGCCCTTTCCTATGATTAGTCAGGTCTTTCAGGAAAACAGAAAAAGCTCAAGCTGCATAACTACAAAACATGCCAATTATTAGAAGAAAAAAGAAGAAGAAAAAATTGTAATTTGTTCAAACCATTTATGGAAGCAACTTTCTCCATAAGCAATAAAGAAATTTTTACTTTTTCCGTGCTTTAAGCTAATTCCGGTTAACGGTACAAAATCCATTTCTCCTCGTCATTTCAACAGCAGAACATAAACTGCAGTCAAGATATTCACTACAATGAGGATCCATTTCTATTTAAGCTTGAATTAGAATTAATATGTTAACTTCAAGAAGAGGGTAAAAAATGCATATAACTCAAATAAATTGAAAGAATTGTTAAATTCAACCACCAAACATAAAAAGTTATAGGTGCGATGGGTTTTTTTGTGCTTAGACTTTGAAGTGATTATTTTCATTCCTCTTCCATCTTTTGCTATTCCATACGCATGCAGATAATCACTATCATATAGAACTAAGAGAACTAAATGTGTGTGTGCGAGCGTGTGTGTGTTTATGCCCTCCAGGATTAACCTTGGAAAAAAGTCAAAGAAGTTTTAGGTAAACCATTTTCATATCCATGATTTCCTCGCCTCTTATACATAATTAGAACCCAGCACAGGCCAAAGCTGATTTGCAAAAATTATAGCCGTGCACTTAAAATACTAAAGAAGTACATACGATTCACAAGGTAACATGCTGATGTTCCTACGTTTGTTCATGTTACCACGAAATACAGCTAAACAAGTAAGATCATTCACAAAATCAACTCTTTATACAGTCTAAAGATATTTTAGAGATAAGTGTATAAAGAACATGGAAGTCACAAAGACCATACATCCAACAAGTACATTAAGAAATTCAGAAAATATAGAAAAGCAGAGAAGTTTAATACCCTGGGAAGATGAATCCTTGAGCCCATCAAATATGGGGCAAGTGTAGGGATTCTGCTGACACAAAGAGCATCCAGAAACAACAGAATTAGAACTTGCCACTGCTTCATCCGGAATCCAGGAAGAGAATCAGTGAAAGACATTGTCTCTAATAAGCGTGCCTGCAAAAGACCAAAAAACATGATGGTGTTGATGATGACAAAAATGACTGACAAGAGAGCGAACAAAATTTATTAAGCCAATATAGGTCCTTCCAAGCAAGAATACCTCACTGCACTCATGTTGAGGTAGTGTTTCTGGATGAAAGTACTTCACAAATTTAAGACATAAAATAGGTTTCTGACTCCTAATGAGACATTCAGGCTGTGTTCTTTTGTGGATTTTACCATGGGTTTTTACTATTGAGATTTTTCTCTCTCCAAAAATATCACATCAAACAATTACTTTTATTTTTTTATATTACATTATAAAATTATTTTACATTCAAAACATCACATCAAACTATTCAAATTCAACTTTTTACTATTCAAAAATCCAAACCCAAAATCCCAAACCCACAAACAAACACACCCTCAATCATACAGAATGCCATTCTGAAGTACTTACACCTTCATCACAACCAGATGAATGGAAGTGATGTTGCTTTCACTTTTTCAGTTTTATGACTTATCTAAAAATTATGAATTTTTGCCTGTACTCTATGCTTTTCATGAATCAAATTAGGAAGCCACTAAAGTTGGAAGAAAACAAATTCTTTATTAAGGCAGGTTCTCAAAAGACTTTCAACCACTAACTGTAAAATCAATTATTTACTCTTCATGCGATCAAAATAAAAAAATATATTGACTCTTCGTTTCCGATCAAATATATAAATATATAGTTACTCTGCATATCCAATTCTCCTCAAACTTACAATTCCTTGCTCCAGGATAGATATCGGAATAGGAAGCCTGATTTCTGCAACAAGTCCAGGCAAGGCTCTCGAAAGGCAATCAGCTAGAGTTTGCTTAATTTCAGAGGACCGGCCATCGGACAATACTATCTTGCGTGGATACTCCCTTCCATTCACAGATAAGTAATCCTCATGAAAACTTTCCTCCTTTCCGTATATATAAGCTAAAGAGGAGGATGATATCCAGGCAAAGATTGCCATAAACATTGTAGAAAAAGGCGACAGCTGAAACAAAATCAAAGTTGATTACCAACTTCATAATTATTAAAATAAATTCTTTTGCAATTTTATAATTTGAATTTGCCTTTAATTACAAGAACTTACATTTAAATTGAACCCATCTGGGGGACTATCATACCATGAATCCTCAGAGTCCAATAGATCATCATTTGAAGTACCTGGTTTTGGAGGCCACTTCAGTGTAACAGGGTCGGTGTCCACAATTTCCACACTTTTGTCAGATTTAGATTCATCCAATCCAAGCGGAGGTGGCAATATTGTCACACCTGCTTCAGACACTAGGTGCAAGAAAGAACGAAACAAATGAGAAGTAAGATGCATAATTGTATAATAAATGGAACTGGGATCAATACCAAGGAGAACTTCATACCAGCATCGGATACATCAGATTTTCCGGATGAGACAGCTTCCGCAGCCTCACTTAGAGCTCTTGCACAGGCTTCAGCAGATGCTAATCGATATGATTCCTCACTCACTTCCTCATTCATAGAATAAGATTCGGCTGCAGCTCCTTTCTCATCATCATTCAATTTTCCAACACCTTGCCCATCACCATTACTTGTATTGTCAGCCCAGGTAACAGACCGGGTTTCTTTTTTTGAAGCTTTCGTCCTTAGAGAAGATTTCAGGAGAGAAGGACCAGCTGCAGGTTGCTTCTCCACTAATCGTTTATGTTCTTTCTCCGAAGCACCATTTTGGCTAGGTCCAGCTGCAAATGGCTTCCCCAATTGGAGATTCTCTTCCTTTGTAGCATCGCTTTGGTTAAGACAAGCTGCATCTTCTAATACATTGATATCTGCTGCAGGCAAGTTCTTATGTTCATTTAACTTCTTGGTTTTGGCATCCCAAGCGTTCACCAAAGAAGCAGCTGGCTTTTGCTCTGTTTTTCCAAGACTATTGGGTTCTTTACAGATAGCTTTTCCCCTTGGTTCTTTAGCCTTTGTAGGGGCAACTGCCTTTGAAATGCTATACTCATCTTGAGTTATGATAGTACTAGTGAAGTCCATGTCATTGCCCAGAAAGTCTGCTACATTCGGCAGATTATACCTATCTTCAGGTACTGTTGATGTAGAATGAGATCATGAGCCAACAATTTGGTGTCAGAAATAATGGCATTTAAACAACAGAGTTAACATAAAACTTACCAACTCGTTTCTGTTTTACATCTTTTTTGAAACTATTTTCTTTCTGAGATTCCAATTTCTGATCTCTCTTTGGTACGTATCCATCGATAGCATTTGAGGGGCCAATCCATTCATCTAAAGAGACTTCTGCAGTTTTTGTGTCCGCTTTCTCGTGAATCTTCAGATTTGAAATTTCTAAATCTCCATCCTTTCCCATATTCACAGCAGATTCTAAACCTAAACCATCAAACAGATTTAGAACTTTTTTTATTTTGGCAGTGTTCAGAGTTGATGATCTCTCCTCTAGCAAACTAGCAGAAAAGGCTCGACTATGTATCAAACAGGTGGCTGAGCAATACATATATGTTTCTTGAAGGTCATAGACTTTATGCTCCTTCAGTGAGATACGGTAGCGGCCCTTCCGTGGTTGCTCGGAAGGTAAAGAATTGCTGCAAAGCGGGTAACCACACGTATGGGCTATTGTGCGCTCAGTCACCGCATCTTGATAGTCACTTCGTGACATCAATGAACCAGCTGCCAATAGTTGTTTCTCATTTTCTATTCCTTCGAGTAGATAAAGTTGAAGCTTATGTACTGCATCCTTTACAGTTAAAACTTCATTATTTGCCATCTTCGTTACCTGGTATGATAACTTAAGTTCATGAGCTCAAGAATTTTTCAACAATTAAGCAATATTGAATATCTTCTCCAAACAATAAAAATAAATAACAAATGAGATTTCTTGAGCCATGCATCTCATTTAGTTTAAAAAATGAAATTCACACAAGATACGTGTTATGCTTAGGTTCTCTTGATGCACACCCTATGAGTTCACTTCCTAGCGAAAGTTTTTGGTCAAAGCTTATTGTTTTTTAAGAAATGGAAACTATAAGTTAGCTTCAACCAAGTGTCAAATAAATGCATCAATGTTGTAAAACATTTACCAAGTATCAAATAAATGCATCAACTGGGACCATCCCAACAACTTTAAGGCAATAATTTACCTAATAATGAGTAAAAGAACAAGCACCAACACATTGATAGAATATCCGAGTCGACCAACATTCATACCTAAATTCGGTTTCTTAAATACCTCGAATTAACAGACTGAGCTTTTGTCCGAAATTCAGTAACATGAAACATACAATCAAATTTAACCCACTTCTGATAGCAGATGATTCTGAAAATATTATTAGATTTAACCCTTTGTGTCCTATAATTCACTGATTACCCTCTCAGTTATATTAAGACATGTTTTCATTAAGATGTGTGAGCTGTCTAATTTGGACCTGAAACATGCTTTGTCAAGCCTGCTGTATTCATTATTGGTATTTTTTCATAAATAATTCAAATATCAAATCCTAGTCTCACCAGATATCTGATCATTAGATCGTTCCAGACTAAAAGTTTAATTTTGTTTAAATTTTATTTATTAAAATTTAATCACATTTCTGTCCACAATTGTTGCTTCAATGTCCTACAGGATGTATACAACCACAATAGGTTCAGCACCATTCACAATCAGGAAAGTAAAATACTTGCCCTACACAACTATTTACCCAAACATATAATCTTACAATACACATTACCACATACCTTATCATCGTGAATTTTCATGTCGCTCATTTCCTCAAGCAAACTATCAAACCCTACAGAATTATTACTCGACTCCCTTGGGCCAGAAGTAGGTGCCACACCCACTGAAGCCATCTTGAAAATATCTAGCTGAATTGATATCCTTAGAAAATCATTCACCTACAGAAAAGAGAAACAAAATGTGAGCTATCAACTATGTCCATCTGTATTATGCGGTTTCTCATCAAAATGCATCAAGTGCACATATTCCACAACAAATAAAAATGTTGTACCATTTAATGCCCTTGTTTATTATGAACATCCCAAGAAATCTTACTAAATCCACGTAGATATTGAAAGAAAAGAGGGCATAGCATCACTTCTAAGAACATCAGAAATGGCTAACCACTGAGTGAAAAAGGAAATTTTAGTCAGATGGTTAAGCTGAAAAAAGGCCTGCCATACCACAAGATAGGCACAGCCTTATGTCCAAGAACATTAAGCGCTCGAAATTAAAAGATGGGTGTGTTTGAGAAGGTGATAGGCGGGCATATGTGCATTAAATATACTTCATTTGTCTATAACATATGCTCCCTAAAAAATATTCGTAAGTAATGAAATGAGAAAGTTTGGATTGACAATATATTTTTTAAAAAATTGGATGGTAAGGCTCTCATATCATCAATTGCATTTGTCAACTCATACTTCTTATTTTTCGATTGAATATATTTAGTTAGACACGAATAGATCCATTCAGCTTTCATATTCCAAATCCAGTATCGTACTTCATACAAAGTTGGGCCTTTGTTTGTGCAGATGCCTTAATTTATCACTCGTGTGTACTTCGAATGCCACCAAAATTTCCTCTATCTATACCTCTATAAACTTTGAGCTGCTAAGTTCTAAACCAAGTCATCTACTTGCTCCAACACCTCAATCAAAGGACAAAATTGCAATAACCCCAATCCTTAACAGCTAAATTGACAGGGTAAAATCAGAGACCGAAATCCCTAGGGCAAAAAAAGAACATCCTAAAAAGGGAAGATAAAAATCCCGTGCAACACTCACTGAAGCCATCTTAAAAATATCTAGCTGAATTCTATATCCTTAGAAAATCATTCACCTGCAGAAAAAGAAACAAAATGTGAATGTGTTTTCTCGTAGAAATGCACCAAGTACAGCCGTTCAGATAGGGCAAGTGTGTGCATTCCACAACAAATAACAATGTAGTACCACTTAATTGTTTATTATGAAAATCCCAAGAAAGCTTACTAAATCCACATAACAATTGAAAGAAAGGAGAGCATAGCATCACTTCTAACGCTATCAGCAATGGCTAACCACAGAGTGAAAATTTTAGTCAGATTTATTAAGCTGGAAAAAGGCCTGCCACGCCACATGGTAGGCACTTCATGTTCAAGAACATTAAATGAGAGAATTAAAAGGTGGGTGTTTGAGAAGGGAAATATAGACAAGCATATGTGCAATCCTAATTATAAAGATACTTCATTTGTATATTAAATAAGCTCCTGAAAAATTATTCGTTAGTAATGAAATGAGAAAGTTCCGATTGACAATATATTTTTTTAGACAATAGATGGTTAGGTTCTCATATCATCAATTGCAGCTCTTTATGAATTCAATTTTGAAACATTGAAGAAAAAGGAAATTGAACCAATTTATTTGGAAATGGAAGCACGTAATCAATGTGTGTGTGTGTATATATATATATATATAAAGGTAATTAGGATAAGTATATGGCGCTATACAACATCATAAGATCAACGATTGAGACCATGCTTACAATTACTACATTTAAGCGACTTCACAAATCAATACAAAAAATGTAATCCCTTAGGATAAATTACAAATTCCAAATTAAACTACCACAGTTTATCTTTCCAAACCTCACAGACTCATTTACCTCACCACATTCTCATTATTTGAAAAGGTCTTACTATTCACTCGGTCCATTCACACAGTCTGACCCAGCATGTATTTTTAAGAACTACCGCTCCTCATCCCTCCTCAAGCAGATGCACACAACACAACAACAGCTCAACTTTTTTAACCACTACCATTTCCTCTGAAAATTTATTAATTACACTATCTAACTTTTAACTAGAGAGAGTTATGCTTTAGCGCGTTGTAGGTATGACTTAAATCTTGGCTCTTCATTACATCTTACAATATGCTAAAGGGCAAACTATGTGTATTGTGCAAACACCAACTGAATAGAGGTTTTAAATAACAAGCGAGCAAACGGCCCACGGTAACACTAAACATTCCACCATATAGGCCGCCTGCAAAAAGGGACAATTGAAGTTCGTTGTATATGCCCTTTGGAAGAAACACACAAAACAAAAATGATCACCAACATGGCCCACAAACTCTAGTTCACATGCCCACTTAAGCAATCTCACATATTACCAAATTTCTCCCCCTGATTTCAGGATACATAGAGATCCTTACATCTTGCAATGATCCTACCCATTGTTGGTGGCTAACTTTTGCATTCAAATTCAATATCTCGACAATAAATTAATAATATTGCTTAAGCATCCATAAACTCATTGCTTCAAATATGTGAATCGCTATGAAAACCAAAACTACATTTGTTAACTCAATAGTTTTTTGTTTTTGTTTTTTCGATTAAATATATTTAGGTAGACTCCAACAAGATATTCAGCTTTCATATTCCAAATCCAATATCGGACTTCACACTAAATAAAGTGTATTTTTGTGAATTACGAGAAGATCCTTAATTTATCACACGTGCGTACTTCGAATACCACCAAAATTTCCTATTGAGAAAAACCTGAGCTGCTAATGGAACAGTTCACACCTTCCCCACACAGATGCACCCGCCCACCAAAACTCTTCTAGAAATAAATCTATGCCGCACCGAAAAGCATTCATCAAGCACTAGATAGTTCTATAATAATTCATCTATTTGCTCCAACACCTCAAACTAACAAATCTCCCATTCCAAGGCTCTTGTAATTCAGATTCCCCCTTGTTTTAGCAGAAAAATTAGCCCTCCAAAGAGCCAAACTTCCATACTTAATTTTATCCTTCACAAGATTAATCGTACAAAAGAACTCAGCACAAAACAGCCATTTCAAGAGGCATTCTAACAACAAACATCATCAGCATATATTTACCACACAAAAACGATAATAAAACTATAAAAAGGAACCAAACAAAAAATCCGAAAACGGCAAAACAATCAAGGGACAAAATTGCTATAACCCTAATCTTTAACAGCTAGAGTAACAGGATAAAATCAATCCAAATCAGAACCGAAATCCCTAGGGCAAAGAAAGAAAAATCCTAAAAAGGGAAGAAAAAATCCCGTACAAATTCCAGCAAACAAATCAAACAAGGGAATCGACGGATCCAGGGCAGAAACCCCCACCCCGATCCACCCTCGACGCCAAGCAGACGAATAAAAAATGAAAAAACCACGAAATCCGCGAATCGCTTGAACGCAAGCTTTGAAAAGAAATATGGAAATTGGAATGGAAACGGAAATGTGAAGAAAGGGCAAAGAAAAGAAGAAAAAGAGGGAGGGAGCGGAGCAGTAGCTGACCGATGAAATCAGTGCAGGGCAGCGGCGATGGCGATGATCATCGGTGAGTGACTTGGACGCAGAAATTAGAGGGCTGAGCTAGAGGACACCACAACAAGAAAGAAAGAAAGGAAGAAAGAGGGAAGGAAAAGGACACCAAAATAAGAGAGAGAAAGAGGAGTGAGAAAGAGAGAGAAAAATGTGGTCTGCTTTTTTTGTGACGTCTGTACGTTTATTTCTTTTATGCTTGACTGCGTGACGATCAACCCTCTCAACTCTGAACTTTTATTTCTTTTTTTCTTTTAAAAAATTAATGAGTGTGTTTCTGTTTCATTTTTACTATTTTTTTCTTTTTTTTTTTTTATTTACAATTGGTAAAAATAAATACTCGTTGTGTTTTACATTATTCGTCCGTAATTTTTATTTTTATTCGTTTTGTATAATTTGTTTATTTAAAATAATTATATATTTTAATATTTTTTTATTCGCAAACACTTGCAATTTTTATTTTTTTTATATCTCAACAATATTTTTAAAATAAAAAATAATTAATTATATTTAATTTCTATCCTATTTTTTATTTCCAAACATCATTAGAATAAAAAAAATAAAATTACAGAATAAATAACATCAATCAGATTCAGTTAAATACAAATATATGAATATGCTTTAAATGTACTATTTTCTTACTCTTAAAAATTCAAAAGATCTGATTTAGCATCTACAATTTTTTACAAACATATGCAGAATTAAAAAATGATTAAATCATTAAATTAGTCCTAAGTAGAACACGTTTACAAGAAGTGAAGAACGCCTACCACCGTCACACCGCCGCACCGCTCACCACCTCACCGTCAAATTCTAAGACTATAGATACAATTATTCCAACATTTTCACTCACTACCGAAGAAGAGTGAGAAGAAGGAAAGGAGAAACAGACCTTACCCACTGCAATCGGAGGAGAGGAAAGTGAGGACGACGTCGGAAACAAAGATGGAGAAGAAAGAGGGGGAGAATAGAAGAAAGAGGACGACCTGCTCAATCGGTTTCGAACGTCCGGTTCGACCGTTTCAAATCGGAAGTTTCGTTAAACCGGAATCGTCATCGAACCGAAACCGGTTTTCTTACGGTCCAGTTTCGATTTCCCTTTCGTCCGAACTGCTTGTTCAAACCGACAGTTTTCGATTCCAACGGACGATTTTGTTATTTTTATTAAAAATAAATAAATATTAATTTATTTTTTTTTTTGGGAAAAGAGATGCGGACGATTGTCAACGTACGTGAATTAGGGTAAAAACATTTATTAATATTATTAAAATTTTATAAAATTAAGTAATATCAATAAAAATAAGTATTTTTCCGACAGGCAGCAATAGCTGTAAAGGTTTAATGAATTAATAATTGATTAGGAACATTCGTTATTAATATTATTAAATTTTTATAAAATTAAATAATAGGAAAAAAAATCAAAACATGTCTCCATATAACTGAAAAAATAATCAATTTTGATCTCATAATAAAAAATTTATCAATTTAAATTCTATTATAAATAATTTTAATCAATATTAGTGATAATATTAAAAAATCAATGAAAAATGCTTACATGGCAATTGGCTGGGTATCGTATACCATTTCCTTCATATTCTTCTCTACAGACTAATATGATTGTTTACTATTTCTTCCTCCTTGGTATTCTTCTTTGCAGACTCCTCACTATCACTATCACTGTCACAAGCTCTTCATCCCCAATTCTAATCCTAACCCTAAATTCTCATTCGTCTTCCATCTCACCTCTCCTCCAACACAAATCCCCCAATTATTCCCTTCCCTGCACCACCATCGACT